GATGAGTTGGCTCTCTAGAATTAAAGGAGCTAGAAAACACTGACGGCTCGTTTCTGTCGATCGTGATATGTTAATGTCTCCTTCTGCCAGAAGGTTTTTTTGTCCGTTAGTTATGCCTTTGAGGTGTGGTTTCTGTCAGCTTTTCTCCTTTAATTTTCCCGCTTTCCTGAAGACGTTTGATTAAATTTTCCTTCCGTTGGGGTAGAATACAATGCAAATTTACGTCTGTCACATCAAGAAGATGCCCCAAAGATCTTAACGATCCTGGTTTGGCAACTGAGCTGGGCACACTTTAGGGGAATCATCCACCATATCTAAACTAAGTAAAACCATTATTATAATACCAAGAAATGCATTGATGTAGCCCCTTGCAGATTGGAGTCCTGTAGCTCAGTGGTTAGAGCACTTGCCTGTCAAGCGAGAAGATCCGGGTTCGATTCCCCGGTCGGGCGAAACGTTGGTCAAGTTTCCTTACTCCACACGCCTCTGTTTACCTAGCAGTAAGTAGGAACTGTGAGTAGCTTAGTCGATTTGCGGCTTGATTTTTCGGGGGTAATAATCCCTTCAAAAAACACATTTTAAAAAATCTGGTCACTCAATCCGCGACTGTTTGTGGGATACTGTCAAGACAGAGTTCATTGTGGGTTTCAAGACAGAAGTAGACATGTATATATGAAGGATAGGGGTTTGAAGGGGGTGAGGGGATAATGCAGACTTGATGGGCTGAATGGTCTCCTTCTGTAAATTTCTATTTTTGCGTTTCACCCACAAAATCATAATAGTAATCCTTGCATTTGATATAGTGCCTTATCACGTCTTCGAGGCGTCTCAAAGCGCTTCACAGAATATACTGTAAAGTGAATTGACTGTATGTTTTGTGGGCGAAATGCAGCAACCAATTGCTCACAGCAGCGTCCCACAAACAGCCGTGGAATGAAGTGACTAATTTATTATTACTTTTTATTTATTTACCCCCGGAAAAGCAATCTGCCAATCGACTAACAACCGGGTTCCTACTTACTGCTTAGTAACGGTGCTACCTGTTCATCCCCACTATTTTGTGTGTATATACAGTATATATTTATGTGCATGTATGCCAGATTTCAATATGGCTGTTCTCGTGAATTCCACCCGTAATAAGCCTTGTTCATGCTGCCATCTGCTGTCCGTTCAGTAAAATAAACCCAATTATCCTGGCAGCATGGCAGATGGTTAAAGAGGTCTTTGAAGTCGTTGACATCCTCTTGGAACGTTTCCTGTTGTCCTCAGAAACAAGCCCCATTTGTTATTACAGCAAATGCATTTATACTCCGACAGAGTGAGGACTGGAGGTACTGGAACACATTGGGGTTGGGATGCTTTTACTGGATAGAGGAGTGAAGCCAGAACTATGCTTTCAGAAACTCCAAGGCCAAGAAATATGTGCAGGCTTGTGAAATATGTCAGGAAATATTTCTTTACCCAGAGGGAAAATGTTACCAGGAAGGATGGTTGAGGTCAGGAATCCGGGCACATTTAAGAACAGCTTGATGCTAAAATGGGAATAGAGTAAGTTTGGCAAACCGTTCTGAAAATATGAGATCGAATCAGCCAAAGTGCCTTCTTTGTTCAGTTCTGCTATCTATAATAATAATCCTTACATTTGGTATAGCGCCTTTAACATTGGGAGGATGTCCCGAAAAGCTTTATAAGAATGCTGTAAAGTTTTAGACTGTTTTGTGGATAAACGTGGCAGCCAATTTGCACATGACCTTCACCCACTCCTCACGCCCCCCGACCCGACCCCCTCCCGAATACCCTTCTATTCCCCTCTCCCACATGTGAAGGTCTAGCTTCCTCTTAAATGCATCTACACTGTCTGATTCAAACAGTTTCAGGCAGCAAGTCTCACAATCTCACTCCCCTCTGCGTGAAGTAGTTCCTCCTAAATTTTCTTTTAGATCTCCTGGTCGCTCTCGTATACTTGTGTCCCCGGTTATGGACTCCCCAAACCCTTGGAAACAGCCTATGTAAAACTTAGCAAAATCTTTTATAATTTTAAACACTTCTATTAGGTCCCCCCTTAAATGTCTCTTCTCTAGTGAAAAAAGACCTAACCTATCCAGTCTATTCTGATAAGACTAACTTGCCAGCCCTGATATCATCCTCATAGACCCGCACAGTACTCTTTCCATTGCTATTATATCCATCTTATAGGGTGGAGTTCATGAAGTCATTTAATACCTAATATGCCATTCATCACTTCTCTGCACAACTCAAGCATATTCCTCAGTTTCTTTGCAGAGTGAAATCCGTGCCAATATTTTCCCATAAAACAAATTTGACATCATCACACCTTAACTTGTCCAAATGTTTCAAAGTGCTTCACTGAGATTTTGGAAAAGTGCACTGTATTTGTAGATGAATATAACTATTGAATTCTGTCTCACAAAAACTCATGAAGTGAAAGAGTTTTTTTTAATCTGGGGGAATTGTTATAACAACAACAATTTGCACTTTATAAGGCACCCTCCAGGCAGGATAGCATCTCAGAGCACTTAACAGTGGGGGAGGTGACCATAAGCACGGTCGAAGAAGAAGGGGAGAGAGGGATTGAGAGAGTGTTCCAGGGTTTCGGAGCGTAATAATGTTTGCAACCGGGAGAGCACGTCAAAGCGCTTCACAGGATTTACTATAAGATGTAGTGACTGTGTAAATGTAGGTGAATGCGGCAGTCCGAGCGCGCACAGCAACGTCCCACAAATAGCCATGAAAAAAATGAATTTCATTGGCCAGTTGGCCAGGACACTGGGGGGAAAAAAAGAGCTCCCTCCTCTTTTCGAATAGCGTCATGGGATCTTTTAATGTTAGCACGAATAGGGCACACGGGACCTCCGGTTAATGTCTCCATCCAAAGGATGGCACCTTAGACAACTCCGCACACCTCCAGCTTTCCCCAACGTGGGGCAGGTCTCACACCAGTGCAGATGTGATGGACTGAGCAATGTATGTAACATCGTGACTCCCATCGTTCAGAGTGGTCCCTCCAGTGGGCAGAACTGGCAATGCTCGTCTGATCGGGTAAATGGCCTCAGGTCAAGGCTACTGTTCAAACCCACGCTCCTGCCTGATCCACTGGCACTCGGGCTCTGTGCCTGTATCCACACGTTTGCGTCATGTGAAGGCCCTGATTAATAAAACACCTTCAACATTCAGTGTCTTATTTTTGCTTCTATTTGACGCTTATCTAATAATTATCCTAATAATAATTTGGTCACTTCAACCCCCGACTGTTTGTGGGACGCTGCTGTGCGCAATTGGCTGCCGCGTTTCACCCACAAAACATAGTCAATTTACTTTAGTTTATTCTGTGTAGCAATTTGAGACGTCTCGGAGACCTGATGAGGCGCTATATCAAATGCAAGGATTATTATTAGATTATTATAAATTCAAGATCCAGATTTATGAGTAAATTTGCAAGGCAATTTGACAATGGTGTGATCTTGTATACAATATTGTATACTATATATATGTATATAGAGAGAGGACCTGAAAAGAGCTGTATCAAATTCAAGGATTATTATTATTATAAAAGCTGCAAAATGAGCAGATTACAACACTATGCCAATCAGTGTAGATTCATTTGAGAGAGGTGGGGAGATTACAACAAATCCAATACCTTACAAAACGTTTTCCAGAAATATTTAATTAACAAACATTGAAATAACATTTCTATTTTACAACAATAGAGAAAAACTCAACTTACAACAATGTATTTTGTACAGGCATTCATTCCTCCAACTGAAATAAAAACACTCAATCCATGATTGTTTGCGGGACATAGCTGTGCACAATTGGGTGCCGCGTTTCACCCACAAAATACAGTCAATCCATTTTAGAATATATGCTGTGAAGCGCGTGAAGACACCTCAACAACGTGATACAAATGCAAAGATTATGATTATGATTATTATGAAGGATTGAGATTTTACTGACGAGTGGAATACCACTGAGCTATAGGACTCCACAATATTAACCATGCAATAATAGTGTAAACATCTTCCATTTCCCACACCAACCACTCTGTGGTTTCTCTGCCCCAGTGCCAGTTTATAAGGATGAACATAGCACAATCGCCTTTTTTAAAATCAAGCCCAAATTGCTGAAATTTAAATCAATATTATCTGTTGGTTATTAAGAATCGAACCTGAAATTCAAGTTTTGATCATCTTAAACCTTTATTAAAATATATAGATGTGGATCCATTGAACAAAACTGCCTCCAGTTTATCATCAATTGCTAATCTGACTCGAAGAATACAAATCACTGGAATGGGAACGGTTATGTTAATAATAATCCTTGCATTTGATTTAGCACCTCATCACATCGTTGAAACATCTCAAAGCGCTTCACAGAATATATTGCAAAGTGGATTGACTGTGTACTTTATGGGCGGAATGCGTTGTATATTGTAGAAGAGGGTGCTTTTCTGAGATTGAGACGAGGACACATCACTCAGGCAGCTTTACCCTTTTATCTGATTGTACGTGGCCAACGCAAATACTGGATACCTGAAATGAATGTGTTCCAATTATGAGCAACCCTTGCCTTGAGTGCAAAATTCACTGGAGAGGAGAAAACGATTATCAATTTAGCTCTGGACTCAAAAGGAAAAGCCACGTATAAAACCCAGTCCCTTTGGGAAAAAAGGTGATATGCACTGTATCAATATAACTATGGGAAGGCAGTAAAGATAGCGTGTCCCACTACCTACGTTTGACAAACACAACTAGTTGTTTCAGAAGAGCACAGTTGTTCTCATATTTTTCCTTTCCTTTCTTTTACCCCCGGAAAAGCGACCCGTCAATCAACTAACAAACGATTCCTATTTGCTGCGAGGTAAGCAGAGTTGCGTGGAGTAAGGAAACTTGTCCAACGTTTCTCCCTGCCAGGAATCGAACCCAGGTCCTCTCGCTTGCGAGGCGAATGCTCTAACCACTGAGCTACAGGACTCCGGTGTATTTATGATATTTTTGAACAATAACATTTATTCTTTAATTAACCAATAACAAACGAAAGACATTTATAATAAATGAGCAGGTCTATCAGGCTGTACATCAGCTCACACTTCTTTAGAGCTTTGTTCATATAGCAAAAACACAGAATTACAGTAGTCCAAAATGTCTCAAAATAAAATTAATATTTTAATTCAGAAAAATAAGGCACAAATATATAAACTATAGTAATGACACAATAACTGCTCCTCAAAAATGTTCCCCCACCCCCACCCAATAGTTTTGCTATTGATTCACATCCGGATGTTTCAACTGGGTGAAAAAAAGAATTGCTGGGAAGTTCAGAGAATTTGTAATATTGTAGGGATTACCTGCAAAAGGAGAAAACAATTCAGATATACTGATTTTTTGTTAAAAAATAAAATATTTTCTAATGGTGTGTATTGAATGCAACAAAAAAAAAGTTTTGGTGGTGGTGGAGGAAGGCAGTCCTGGCCAGTGACCGGATGTAAGGTAGGAAGGATAACTTGTGGATCGAACCTGATCCTAAGGTTGCACACGTGCGATGTGTCTGAGGGATAGGCAGAGAAGGATAAGGAGTTCAGAACCACAGGTGAGAAGACCTCGACAAAAGCCAAGGAGGATGGCTTCTGTCTTGTCCAAGTTCAGCTGCAAAACGTTGGAACTCATCCAGCCTTGATGTCTGATAAGCAGGCAGTTAGTACACCGGCAGCACAGGGCTTGCTACTCCAGGAGGAAACATAGTGTTGGCCAGACTTGTGGAAGTTGACCCAATGTCTATGGATGACATAACCAAAATGGAGCATTGAAATGAGAAATAGAAGAGTGTGGAAACCAGACTGAAGGGGCTCGAGAAGGAGAAGTCTCGATAAGACGTGATAAGATGCTGGGAGGAAAGGTGTCAGCAAAGTTGTGTGACTGGCATCAATGTGTTCTAGAAGGGAAGGACAGGTTTGAGATGGGCCAGTAAGTAGCAACGGTTGACTGATCAAGTGTGGCGTTTTGGAGGGGTGATGCTCGGGGTTTTGAGGGGGAGCGGGACGGTGCAGGCGGGGGGGGGGAAGGAGGCAGAGAAATTTTCACTTACCGGGGGGCACACAGAAACAGTCCCCTTGACTGAGATTATACAAGTTGTTGTTGATGGAGACTTTAATATGTCCTTGAATAATGTAAAATAACTGTAACAAAAAAATTATGATTATTTAGGCATCCGCCTCGTTCAGTTTGTAAGCAGTCTCGCCCGAGTGAGAGGTTGTCAGGGACTTGGGACCCATATAGTCTATGCTGACATGTCAATGGTGTGCTACATTGTTAGAGGTTTGCATTTGTATAGTATCTTCCACGTCGGCAGGACATCTCAAGGCACTGACAACCTTCAGATGAACTGTTAAATTGTGGTTGTGTCTGCCTGACATTAAAGATCCCAAGGCACAGAAGAAGATTCTGGCGGTGTCCTAGCCAGATACAATTTGTCATTCACTTCATGACTGTCCTGTAGCTCAGTGGTTAAAGCACTCGCCTCGCAAGCGAGAGACCTGGGTTTGACTCCCGGCAGGTCAGGGTGAAACCTTGGGCAAGTTTCCTTACTCCACACGTCTGATAATAATCCCTCAAGAAAAAAAATAATAAAATTGGTCACTTTAATCCATGACTGTTTGTGGGACGTTGCTGTGTGCAATTGGCTGCCTCGTTTGGCCCACAAATACAGTCAATTCACTTTACAGTATATTCTGTAAAGAGCTTTGAGACATCTCGAAGACTGGAAAAGCGTTATATCAAATGCAAGGGTTATTATTATTATGGCTGTGAAACATTGCAGCGCGTAAATTGTTTGCCACCTTTGTCTACAAATACAGTATTTGCAAATCTTGGAAAGTGCTTTGTGAATCATTGTGAAAAAGTACTTCATGGCGATGGTCTTTAGCCATTTCAACCCTCCCTCCCACTCGCACTCTGACCTCTCCATCCACGGTCTCCTGCGCTTACTGTTCCAATGAGCCACAGCGCAGCTCGAGGAACAATCTGCCAGGGCCCTTACAGCCCTCTGGCCTCAATATTGATTTCAACAATTTCAGACCATAACAGCTCACCTTCCCCTCCCCCTTTTCTGTGACCATTCCCATATCATCCTGGTCCCAGACACGCCTTTTCTCTCCCTGATCTGCCTGTTTTGTTGCAAGTTTTTTTCCCCCCACTTTTGTTCTGCAGTATTAACACCTCTATTCCCCTGCTTTGTTACAATCCCCCTTTGTTTTTGCACCATTAATACCTATTTAGCTCATCATCCCCCGTCCTCTACCCCATTTTCTCCCTTGTCATCCTTGCCCTGCCTCTCCTCTTTCTGTTAGCCCTTAAAAGCCTCTCCCTCCCAACGTGCCCCAGTTCTGACAAAGGATCGTGGACCTGAACCGTTGACTCACTTTCCTTTCTCCATAGATGCTGCCTGACCTGCTGAGTGTTCCCAGCGACTTCTGTTTTTGTTTTCAGGAATAATAAGGGAATGGTTACTCTATTGGGCGCTAATTATAGACCACCAAAGAGTAGAAATCAGACAGCAGGTGAGATTCGTAAGCAAATCTGAGCAATGTGCAGGAATAATAGTACCATAATAATCCAATAAGATGTTAAAAAAAGGATTTTTTTTCTGCAATGTGACCATAATTACTTTCTATATCAGTATGTTTCTATTCCAAGGAAGAGGCAGTGCTTCATCTAGCTCTAGGAAATGAAGAGGGGCAAGTAAGAAAAATAAAATAATAATAATAATCATCCTTGCATATGATATAGCGCCTTATCCCGTCGTGAAACCCACAAAATAATGGAAATGAAGTAATGGAAAAGAGAAACATTTAGGAAACAGTAATCGTATCATAATTTGGATCAATATAAAGATCAAAGAGGGGAGAACTGTAAAGATAAAGGAAACGGACTGGAAAAAGGGATGTGTTTAATGTATATAAAAGGAACTAGTCTAAATAAATTAGTGACAAAAATTGGCAGATAAATTCAAAATATCAGACGGATGAAACATATTTCAACAAAAAGCTTGGTTGAATAGATCAGTGGCCTTCATAATATATTGTCAATGAGTAAAACCAAGGAAACACTTTTTTTAAACAAATATCCATAGATACCTGCAATATTTTAAATTGCAAGTGGGAGATTAAACTGATGTAATGGAATTTTAAACAGCGCATCACACTTGGAAAACAGGACGCAGAACATAATGCAGAGGAACGATTCATTTACTCACCATGGTGTCTCCACACTCTCGCTGAATGCCTTTCTCTCTGAAAGGTCCCAGAAACAGTTTGCCGCAAGCAAACGTGTCGAGATCCAAATCCTTGCAAATACCAAGCGACGTATCGTTCTCATTGTAATCCAACTTTAAGGGATATTCGAAATCATTCGTTCCTGAAATTCCAACACAGTCTGGAAGTTCACAACAAAACAAAGTGGAAAAATTAGGACTCGTTACAGTACCTTTTGGTATCAAAATGCCGATTGCTGGGGATGACACAACTCTGTTCACTTTACACTCTCACCATCAACTACGACAACAATTTACACTTAGGGTATTTCATATAGAATCAGTCTCAAGCGGCTTTACAATAGGAACCTAAGCTGGGAGGCAGTTGGTATTTCTTTGGCGGGGGTGGGGGGCAAAAAAGATGTCCAAAACAACAAAAAACGAGAAAGGTCTTTCGGTGTGATTTGAAATTTTAAGCAAGAATGGGCAAGGCAGGAGGATATCAGTACAGCTCCACAGGGAAGTGGCAAAGTTGCTGATGGCTTGCATGCCAATAGTGGGGTGGAAGGCATGAAGCAGGCTGACATCAGAGTTGTGCTCTTCATGAACACAGCGCTACATAAAAGCAGCTCAGCAATTCTCTTTTGAGTATTTACTGGGGACACTGCTGATGTCAGGAAACGCCATGTACCCATGCTCTATGCGCGGGAGACAGACAGTGAACACAGAAGTACTTGAATACTGCTTATACATGTTATACTGGACTCCGCTGTATACTGAAGTGCAATATAATTGGGTCGTGCTTCACAAAGATAAGATGATAGACAAAAATAAGAATTTATTGACAAAAATTATTAGGAGGAACTCTGACTTTGAAGTATTTCGCAGTTTTCTTCTGTGCTCCATACAGAAGTAGGCTTTTGCTGTTGGAACGTATTTTCATAACTTTCAGATGTTTGCTCCGTGTAGGTTCCCCCTAGCCAGACAATAAAACAAATTGAAGGTTTTGAAAACGTGTAGTTATTCTGAATGTCATGTCTGGTACTTTCTAGAAATTAAATCAAAGTGAAATAGAGTGACTAAAAAAAAAAAACGATTCTGAAGTTAAAAATCAATTCAGCGACAAAAAGAAGGCAATTTATTTGGGGATTAGGCAGGAGTGTTAGGCAGGATACCAAGAGAAGCTCCCTTTTCTTTTCAAATAATGCCATGTGATTTTAATATGCACCTGAACAGGCAGGCAAGGCCTTGGTTTGACATCTCATCTGAAAGACAGAACACCAAAAAAAAAACAGCCAACACGCTGCCGAGAGGTATTTGACCTAATCCCAGAGTGCTGAGGCGCACATTGGTTAAGGCTTCAGGACCTGAGATTCTACGACTGAAATTTCACTAGATTGATCATCGCAAATACTGGTAAGATTCCTGCTATTTAACCAGTCACTTGAATGAGAAGAATCCTTGCTTTCAGAGACAAGTCTACTCTTCCAAGTTAATGAGCTGGACTGGTTAGTTCTCATAGAAAGTGCCTATGAGTATTGCAGACAGAAACAGGACAACCGAGACCAACACACACCATTGCCATCCGTTTCAGTACTGTTTGTGGTACATTTCAGTATTTGAAGACCGTGGTCAAATTTGAAAGCGTGGTCAAAGAGGAAAATCCTAAGACAGACCTTGAAGAAGGCAAAGGAAGTGGCGAGGTGAAGAGACTCCAGGATGGACTTCCAGAGAATGGGGGCAGAAAGGATGAACACCTGACCGCCGATGGTGGGGCAGGGGACAGGAAGCAGGCCAGTGCCTGCTGAGTGTAGGGTGTGGGCATGGTGGTAGTTTTTTAGTAGGTAGAAGTAGGGTGGGGCAAGACTGTAGGGCGAGGATGAGGATCTTGAACTCAATCTCTGAGTAATGAGGAGCCACTGAAGCCAGGCAAGGATGGGGTGATAGGGTCTTGTAGGGTGGTGTGGGACAGGACACGAGGTGCAGAGTTCTGAATGGTCTGCATCTTGTGGAGGGAAGAAGTGGGAAATACAACAAGCAAAGAGTTTCTGTAATCAAGCCTGTACGCAATAAAAGCATGGATAAGATTCTCAGGGGCCTGAGGGGAGAGGTACTGGTGGAGGCAGGTAATGTTTCACCCACAAAATACAGTCAATTCACTTTACATTATATCCTGTGAAGCGCTTATGTTGCGGAGGTAGGGGAAAGCTGAACAGGTCAAGGCATAGATGTGGGATTTAAAGAACAGTTGAGAGTTAAACAAGACACAGAGATTCCGCAATGGCTCAGTGAGTGAACATCCGTATCAGTATCGTTCACCAGAACACCAGGGCTTAAAGGGTTAAATTATGAGGACAGTTTTCATAAACTTGGTCTCCATTCCCTTACGTTTAGGGGGTGATCAATTTGAGGTGTTTAAAATAAAAAAGGGATTTGATAGGGTAGATACAGAGAAACTATTTCTTTGGTGGGGGATTCCAGAACATGGGGGCATAATCTTAAAATTAGAACCAGGATATTTAGGAGTGAAATCAGGAGACAGTTTTTCACCCAAATGGTAGTGGAAATCTGGAACTCTCTCCCCAAAAAGGCTGTGGTTCTAGGATCCATTCAAATTTTCAAGACTGAAGTGGATAGATTTTTGTTAGGTCGGGGTATCAAGCGATACGGGGCAAGGGCGGGTAATTGGAATTGAGGTACAAATCAGCCAATGATCTTGTACAATGGCAGAAGAAGCTCGAGGGGCTGAATGGTCTACTCTTGTTCCTATGTTCCCTGTAGATTCACACTGTGAGCACCTGAGGAGAGAAGGCGCTGACAGGAGCCAAGCGGGAAAGCCTCAGTTTTGTAAACATTCAACTGGAGAAACTTAGCTCTCATACAGGTCTTGGTGTCAAACAGGTTAGAGCAGCCGTAGTCCGAATTGAGGGTGGAGGGCAAGTTAGAGTTGGGTGTCATCTGCATATATGGAATTTATCTCATGTCTGTGGATGACATTACTAAACAGGCACACGTAAAGAGTAAAGAGAAGTGGACTAAGGATAGAGCCCTGAGCAATGCCACGGAGGGGTAGCAGTAGCACGGGCAGAGACAGTACAGCAGAGCTTCTCCATTTTGGACTCGAGATCTCCTTACATTTGGAACTGAAAGAGAGGTTGGGTGAGGCACGGGAAGGGTGGAGCAGCTGGTTTGTGGTGAAGAGGAGCCTGGAATTATCCTTGGCCTTCAGGATGACCGTGGAGTAGATGCACAATTTGGCTGAGATAAAGGCCGAGTGGTGGCACGCACCTGTGCCTTCAGCTCCCCTCTCGACTCTCTACCCCCTCCTCGCTCCCTCCCATCCCTCCCCTTGCCCTGACCATTTCCCCCCTGCTCGGGTCCCGACCCAATTGTCCAGTGCCTTGGGAAGTCCTCCCGACATGAAAGGCGCTCTATAAATGAAATCTTGTGGTTGTTGTTGAGGGAAGAGGGGTGGGTGTACCAGGGGCACTTGTGGAAGTGGGAGACAGTGTGTGAGTTGTTGGGGGAAAGGTAACAAGGATATTAGAGGAGTTGTGAATGAGAGTGACTCTCCTGGTGCACCAGAGAGGGGCCCAAAAAATGCAAGTTGTTGTTGTTGTCGTCAAGCCTCAGCGCTTGCCAACCTGCGCCTAATACTCTCTGGAATTAGGTTAGCCCTTGCTACTGCCACCCCCTCTTCACCTGACCTCCAACTTCCTCTCCCTCCAACCCCATCTCCCTCTTCTCTCACCTCCATTACTTCCCATATAAAGCCCATCACCCCCTTCCTTGACCCCATCCCTACCCCACTCCTTATCTCCCAGCTCCATCTCCTTGCCCCGTTAACAGACATCGTCAACCTCTCTTTGTCCATCAACACAGTTCCCTGTCTTAAAAAATAGCCGTCATCACCCCATCCTCAAAGAACTTTCCCTCTTCCACGTACTCTAGGAATGCTATTCCATTCCAAATACAGAAATTTCTTTGGAGGCAGATCTTCTGTGCTAAATATTCACTCATACCTGACAGAAGTATGTGATGGTCACTGTTGGGATATGAAGCCTGGTTCGCTGGCCCAGGTCCACTTGCATTCAACAAGAACCTTAAAAATAAAATTCCTCGTTACTGCAAAGTCACTCAAAGATTGCATTTTTCAACTGAACAAAATTAAAAGCAATTCTATACATATATTTTGACACAACTCATCAAGAGTTAGACAATGCAGACTTATCGAATGGTATGTGTGCATAACGTCAGTCGATTTTATTATGCTGATCAGTATTCCTAAAGTCTATTAGCCTAAATGAATGCAGTGTGCACAATACATAAAATATATATTTTTTAAAAAGTATGAAAATCTAAATATACAAACTGCATTTGGGTGAGTTGAACAGATCCTGAGATGTTTGAATCAAAACATTGTCGGACTTTAGAAATACTGCAGATCAAAAAAACACGAACAACCTGACTCCAAATGGATTGCTAGCCAAGGAAAAGTTACTTAAGTAATTGGTTAAAAGTCTCAACGTAGAACCAAATTATTTTGATTAAACTTAAATTTAAACTTACAAATTCATTCTTTGCTGCTTAACTTCCTCGTCTCGTGAACCAGGATTAAGTCCTGATTCACCACTATCTTCTATCGTTTCCCTCAAATTCTGCCAGGGTTCTGTCTGACTCGCAGAATCTTTCTGTCCACTTTCAGTGGTTTTTAAAAACCATCTCTTTGATGTACTGTCGTACACTGCGTCATGTGCAGGGATACTCGTATATCTTGGATTGGGATTACTGGAAGCTGCTGGATATGTTTCAAAGATTTCGTTCGACATTGTTTTGGATGCTGAAGACAAGAGGAGATTCCTAGCTTGCCTAGAAATTGCAATAGGTTTTTCAAATGCGCTGAACCTCTTCAATTGCTTGATACGGTTTTCATTCAGTTTGTCAAGACTCTGAGGACACCGTTTTGGCCTTTTTGTGGCTGGGTACAAAGCAGAGGGGTTTTCCTGGTCCTTCGCAAGCTCAGGAAATGCACGCTTTCGTGGCACTGATGACTTGAATAGATGCTTTCCGCTCTGCGCTGTGAGTGCCCCACTTATTGTATCATTTTCATATTGTACCGCCGGTTGGGACTGGATATCGTAAAAAACAGATATAGAATCGTCATCATAATCAAGCTCATCCCCTGCGAAATCAGCATCCTCATCTGAACTAAGCGGTTGTGGTACCACTGATTTAATTTGAGCACTCGATGAATCTCTTTTAGACAGGTTATATATCTTCGTCTTCTGTGCTGAGGATTTTCCTGCCCTGTGCTTTATTTTGTTTTGTGATGGAGGAAGCCAAGAGGAATGACGTGAAGACTTTGCTTCTCTTCGGGAGGAGACAGGGGGACTGTAGTCTTGCTGAGCTACCTTCCACCACTGGTTTGGGGGTCTGATATGACGTCCAGATATTGTATAGGTCTCATCGCTGTCAGGGTGGAGATCACTTATGCTGTGGAAATCGTCTTCGTGAAAGACAGAAGGGTTTATCTGTTTCGTCAAATAGCCCGACTGTGTTCGTTCAGTTTTCTTTGTGTCCGTTTGTTTCATTTTGGCTGGAATAGAAGGCAAAATTCAGTTAATTTAGATTAGTTCAACAAAACCTCAGTTGTCAAATTAAAAATACTACTCGATCAAGATAGCTAGGACTGTTGTAGCTCGTTTCATTTCCAGCACCAGGCTCCATGAGAGAACCTATTCCGCCATTTCTGCCCAGCTCCAATGGCTCCCTCATTCCCCAGCAGATCAAGTCCAAGATCCTCATTCTCACTTTCAAATCCCTCCGCGGTCTCACCCCATCTACGATTGCGATCTCCTTCAATGCCACCAACCTCTTGCTCCCATCACTCAACAAGCACCAGCCTGTTTCATGCCACCCACCCTGTCTTCCCCACAATCAGCATGCAGGTTTTCAGACATTCTGTCGCACTCTCTGGAACTCTACCATCATACTCCTTCCCTCACCTCGTTCAAGGTCGATCTCAAGACGTACCTCATCTGACAATGCTTTCAGTCATCCTTCCCCTTCTCACTCTCTACCCCTGGGGCTCCCAGCTCGGCTCAGGTGCAGCCAGGAGTATCAAATGTTTTGAGACATTCTCCTTATGCGAAGTTTAGATCGTATTACTGTATTGTATTCTGTTGTTATAGCTACATAATGGTAGCATAACCAGCCTCCCCCAAAGTCATGATATTCATGAAAGTGGACAAATAGAAGGGAGCATTGTTTCAATTTCCCCACATTCTTTTCTGCATCTTTTTGAAAAATAGATTAATTCCTTGATCGTTACAGATTCACATTAACATGACCATCATTTTACACAGTCAATTCACTTTACAGTATATCCTGCAAAGCACTTTGAGACGTCTTGAAGACACGATAAGGCACAATATCAAATGCAAGGTTTATTATTATCAATCGTGAACAAATGAACCAAAAGTGCAGTGGTGTCCGGTGAAATGTCACCCACCCAATAATGGGTCAAATTATTTTTAACGTTTAATGTAAAAAGCAAAATGTAATTTTTATTTTAAAAGCTCATTTAAGTGAAAAGTAAAAATCTATTACCTGATGTCTTTGTATTTTGCGTTCTGGTTTCTGCACTTGGAGCTCTACCAGACCTTTTTTTAGACCTATCTGTGGGACAATTTACAGACCCTCGAGATGCCAACTGTCTCTTAGAATTTTCAATTGTCTCTTTCAATTTTTTAGCTTGGTTTGCTTTCTTGACATAGACACGAGGCTCTTCCTGCAATTTCTCCTGATCCTGTACTTCGGGCATAGCCACAGCTGTTTTTTCGGGATGCTTTCGGGGTCTTCCACGCTTCTTAGGCACGCTGGAATTCTTTCCTTGCTTAACCGGCTTCCTGCTTATCACCTTGCCTTTTCTGACGTGCGATTCAGAGCAGGAGCTCTTGGGGTCCTCCCACATCTCACACTCAGATTCGTTCGATATTGGTGTTGAAGTCCTGAAAACCGTGTGTTTTGATGGTGGAGGCGTAACAGCAGGTCTGTGAAAGCCATGATTTATTTTTTAAATGAAAATAATTTAAAAGCTTTATTATTAGCCATAATAATAATATGCTAATTAAGCTCAACTTTTCTTAACACAGTAAAACACCAATAACTCGTCACTCCAAGGAAAAAAGTGCTGAGTGACTAGTTATCCGGGGTGGCCTATCTTGTGACTGGTGCGAGCAATCAGTGGCGGTTGGGCGCACATACACTGCAGAGACCACTGGTCTATTGAAGGCCCACGGTATGGCCTCCTGCCCTATCCTGTCACACGTGGGATGCAAGTCAGGAGAGGGAAGCCTCAGAGACCAAGGTCTCTGCAATGGATCTGACCATGTGGGCCCAACTTCCTCCGAGCACCTGCACCAGTCACAGGGTAGGGTGGGAGGCCTCTGTCATGCAAGATGGCATCTTATAGGACAAGTTATCTCATCAATTTTACATTGTAAGTACTTACAAGAGTTTCTGGAATGTGACAAGTTACGTGTTAAGTGGATTGACAAATAAGTAACTAATTAAGATCGCTGCCTTCCTTGCGACTTAACCCTACCCTCCCCATCCCCATCCCTCCCGATCCCAACCACCAGCTCAGGTGTGGGTCCCTGACTGTCCAGCATTTTGGGACGTCCTCCTGACACGAAAGGCGCTAAACATATGTAATTTGTTGTTGTTGCTGTAAAGCAAAGTACCTTATTAACGTTGTATGGGAAGCTGCCAGGGTATTGGCAGTATGGCAGGATAACTACTGACAAGTTATGCCAGGGTGTTGTGATCAGGAGTTAACTGGGACAAGCTTTTCCTTGTTTTCCAGTAAACTATTTGCTCACCACCGATACTTGCCAAGGAAGATACAAGTTAGTGTTAGTTGACAGCCGATGTGCAGCTATAGACTATGAATAGCAATAACAGCAAATCAAGCTCCTCTCTCCTCAGTAAAGATTAATTTGCAAGGGACAGTTTTTTTGTATTCTAGTCTGAACTTGACAAGATATGACAACAGAGGTTAAAAGCACATACAAGGAACATATGCATATTGGATGCAGCTCAATTATTTTTTGCAAAAAGCAACAAGGAGCCTGAAATTTATAAATCCAGGGAGTCATAATGTGCATATGACTCCTCCTCAAACTCAAAACGATCGACGATCTTCCTCGACCCGCTGCAAATTTCTAACGTGTTATACTTTTATTCCATGTTACCCACTCACATACCTGGACCATCACTGACATCATTCTCTCTATGAAATGGTATATTTTTAAAATTAGTTGTAATAATAATAATAAACCTTGCATTTGATAAAGCGCCTTATCACGTCTGAGCTTTGAAATGAAGTTCAGCGACTTTATCTTTTGTAGGTGAACCAGCAGTCAATTTCCACACAGCAATGTCCTGCAAAATGACCAATTTTAACAACCCCCAAAACCACTGCATAACAACAGAATTGAACCGTAATTACAGACCCATAAAATCCAAACCCGCACTATGATTAGAAAAAATGACCTCACCTTCCCCTGAAGTCCCAAATTGAAAGCAAATTTCTCAAGGGCATAAACTTTCATACCTTTTTGATTTGATCGTTACTGGATGTCTTGAAAGGGCTGAAGATGATTTTCCAGAAATTACGTATTTTTTCCGATTCTCCAGCTCAACGACTTGGTCGTTTTCATCATCATTCCCGCCTTCTGAGGCTTCAGATTCAGCTAATGGAATAGACTTTGACTGTGCACGGTTACTGGGACCGTAATCACCTGCAAAGAGCAGGACAAATGAGGGATTGCATCGTCTCAATCATATTTTAGAAATATACAGTGAAAATAATAATAATAATCCTTGCATTTGATATAGAGTCTTATCAAGTCTTCGAGACGTCTGAAAGCACTTCACAGAATACACTGTGGAGTGAATTGACTATATTTTGTGGGCAAAACACAGCAGTCAATTGCGCACAGCAGTGTCCCACAAACAATCGTGGATTGAGTGACCACATTTTTTTTGCAAGGAAGGAATTATTACCCCCGGAAAAGCGATCTGCCAATCGACTAACAAGCGGGTTCCAACTTACTGCTGGGAAACAGAGGCGTGTGGTGTAAGGAAACTTGCCCAGTGTTTTGCCCTGCCAGGAATAGAACCCAACTTTGCCTGATATGCTACTTATTTCAACCTCAATACAAAAATGAAATAATGAACTAAATGAAGTACATTTGTTAAGAGAACAGCTTGCAAATATAAAGCACTGGTAAGACCTGACAGAGCTTGTACAACTACAGTAGTTCTATCCTATCCACTGGAGCTTTGGTTAGAGTGGATATCTACACCAGGCAGACAGGCTGGTCAACCATCAACTATTAATGTGACCAGCCAACAAAATAAACCTATTACACATTACAATATATTTTGTGAAGCACTTTGAGATGTCTTGAAGACATGATAAGGGGCTGTATCAAATGCAAGGATTATTATTATCAATAGTAAATAAATGAACCAAAAGTGCAGTGGTGTCCGGTGAAATGTCACCCACCAAATAATGGATCAAAATGTCTTTAACTTTTAATATAAAAAGCTCATTTAAGTGAAAAATAAAAATCAATTACCTGATGGTTTTGTATTTTGCGTTCTGGTTTCTGCACTTGGATCCGGACTACCAGGTCTACCAGACCTTTTTTTATACCTTTCTGTGGGGCAATTTATAGACCCTCGAGATGCAGACGGTCTCTTAAGAGACGCTTTGGAGTTTTTAGCTTGGCTACCATTCTCGACATAGACAGGAGGCTCTTCCTGCAAATTCTCCTGATCTTCCTCCTGATCCTCTACTTCGGGCATAGCCACAGGTGTTTTTTGGGGATGCTTTCGGGGTCTTCCACGCTTCTTAGGCACGCTGGAATTCTTTCCTTGCTTAACCGGCTTCCTGCTTATCACCTTGCCTTTTCTGACGTGCAACTCAGAGCAGGAGCTCTTGGGGTCCTCCCACATCTCACGCTCAGATTCGTTCAACATTGGTGTTGAAGTCCTGAAAACAGTGTGTTTTGATGGTGGAGGCGTAACAGCAGGTCTGTGAAAGCCATGATTTATTTTTTTTAATGAAAATAATTTAAAAGCTTTATTATTAGCCATAATAATAATATGCTCATTAATCTCAACTTTTCTTAACACAGTAAAACACCAATAACTCGTCACTCCAAGGAAAAAAGTGCTGAGTGACTAGTTATCCGGGGTGGCCTATCTTGTGACTGGTGCGAGCAATCAGTGGCGGTTGGGCGCACATACACTGTAGAGGCCACTGGTCTATTGAAGGCCCACGGTATGGCCTCCTGCCCTATCTGGTCACATGTGGGATGCAAGTCAGGAGAGGGAAGCCTCAGAGACGAAGGTCTCTGCAATGGATCTGACCATGTGGGCCCAACTTCCTCCGAGCACCTGCACCAGTCACAGGGTAGGGTGGGAGGCCTCTGGAATACAAGATGGCATCTTATAGGACAAGTTATCTCATCAATTTTACATTGTAAGTACTTACAAGAGTTTCTGGAATGCGACAAGTTACATGTTAAGTGGATTGACAAATAAGTAACTAATTAAGATCGCTGCCTCCCTTGCGACTTAACTCTACCCTCCCCATCCCCATCCCTCCCGATCCCAACCACCAGCTCAGGTGTGGGTCCCTGACTGTCCAGCATTTTGGGACGTCTTCCTGACATGAAAGGCGCTAAACATATGTAATTTGTTGTTGTTGCTGTAAAGCAAAGTACCTTATTAACGTTGTATGGGAAGCTGCCAGGGTATTGGCAGTATGGCAGGATAACTACTGACAAGTTATGCCAGGGTGTTGTGATCAGGAGTTAACTGGGACAAGCTTTTCCTTGTTTTCCAGTAAACTATTTGCTCACCACCGATACTTGCCAAGGAAGATACAAGTTAGTGTTAGTTGACAGCCGATGTGCAGATATAGACTATGAATAGCAATAACAGCAAATCAAGCTCCTCTCTCCTCAGTAAAGATTAATTTGCAAGGAACAGTTTTTTGTATTCTAGTCTGAACTTGACAAGATATGACAACAGAGGTTAAAAGCACATACAAGGAACATATGCATTTTGGATGCAGCTCAATTATTTTTTGCAAAAAGCAACAAGGAGCCTGAAATTTATAAATCCAGGGAGTCATAATGTGCATATGACTCCTCCTCAAACTCAAAACGATCGACGATCTTCCTCGACCCGCTGCAAATTTCTAACGTGTTATACTTTTATTCCATGTTACCCACTCACATACCTGGACCATCACTGACATCATTCTCTCTATGAAATGGTATATTTTTTAAATTAGTTGTAATAATAATAATAAACCTTGCATTTGATAAAGCGCCTTATCACGTCTGAGCTTTGAAATAAGTGCAGTGACTTTATCTTTTGTAGGTGAACCAGCAGTCAATTTCCACACAGCAATGTCCTGCAAAATGACCAATTTTAACAACCCCCAAAACCACTGCACAATAACAGAATTGAACCGTAATTACAGACCCATAAAATCCAAACCCGCACTATGATTAGAAAAAATGACCTCACCTTCACCTGAAGCCCCAAATTGAAAGCATATTTCTCAAGGGCATAAACTTTCATACCTTTTTGATTTAATCGTTATTGGATTTCTTGAAGGAGTTGAAGATGATTTTCCAGAAATTACGTATTTTTTCCGATTCTCCAGCTCAACGACTTGGTCGTTTTCATCATCATTCCCGCCTTCTGAGGCTTCAGATTCAGCTAATGGAATAGACTTTGACTGTGCACGGTTACTGGGACCGTAATCACCTGCAAAGAGCAGGACAAATGAGTGATTCGTCTCAATCATATTTTAGAAATATACAGTCAAAATAATAATAATAATCCTTGCATTTGATATAGAGTCTTATCAAGTCTTCGAGACGTCTGAAAGCACTTCACAGAATACACTGTGGAGTGAATTGACTATATTTTGTGGGCAAAACACAGCAGTCAATTGCGCACAGCAGTGTCCCACAAACAATCGTGGATTGAGTGACCACATTTTTTTTGGAAGGAAGGAATTATTACCCCCGGAAAAGCGATCTGCCAATCGACTAACAAGCGGGTTCCAACTTACTGCTGGGAAACAGAGGCGTGTGGTGTAAGGAAACTTGCCCAGTGTTTTGCCCTGCCAGGAATAGAACCCAACTTTGCCTGATATGCTACTTATTTCAACCTCAATACAAAAATGAAATAATGAACTAAATGAAGTACATTTGTTAAGAGAACAGCTTGCAAATATAAAGCACTGGTAAGACCTGACAGAGCTTGTACAACTACAGTAGTACTATCCTATCCACTGGAGCTTTGGTTAGAGTGGATATCTACACCAGGCAGACAGGCTGGTCAACCATCAACTATTAATGTGACCAGCCAACAAAATAAACCTATTACACATTACAATATATTTTGTGAAGCACTTTGAGATGTCTTGAAGACATGATAAGGGGCTGTATCAATGGAAGGATTATTATTATTATATTATTATAATTGGTCTACTTTTAGAGAGTTCAATCTACATCCACTTTTTTTTTTAAAAATTACGGTATTCATTTTACAACAACTTGCACTTATATAGCACCTGCCATGCTGAGTAGAGTCTCAGAGCGATCAACAGTGGCGGAGCCTGACTTCAAGCCAGGGGGAGCGAGAAGGGGGAATGTGGCCAAAAGCACGGTCGAACAGGAAAGTCTTCAGGCTGGACTTGAAAGAGGGGAAGGGGAAAGCAAAGGGATTGAGGGAGAGTGTTCCGGAGTTTTGGAGCCTGGTGGCTGAAAGCACGACCTCCGATGGTGGGGCGGAGGGTACGAGGGACGAACAGGAGGCCGGTGCCAATCGAGTGGAGGCGCCGGGTGGTGGATTGGGGTATGAGGAGGTCAGTGAGGGCGGGAGGTGCCAGGGATTGATTTGAACACGAGTGTGAGAGGATCTTGAAGTCGATCCGGTTGGTGACGAGGAGCCAGTGGAGCCTGGGTCAGAACTGGTGAGATGTGGTTTCGGAGTTTGGTCCGGGTCAATATGTGGGCGGCAGTTTTGAATGAGCTGATCTTGTGAATGGGGAGACAAGATCACCATTCCCAAGTGGAGCTGGGGAGATCGGCAAGGAATGTGATGGAGTAATCCAAGTGGGAGGTGACAATCGCGTGCACAAGGGTTTGGGCTATATTTGGGGTAAGGTGCAATCAGAGGTGGGCAATGTGGCGGAGGTGGAAGAAGGCGGTCCTGGTCAGGGAACCGGATGTGGGGAAGGACAGTTGGGGGTCGAACCGGACCCCTAGGTTACTCATTGGTTCGGTGAGTCTGAGGGAGAGCCCAGAGAGGTTGAGGAGTTTAGATTCGCAGGAGTGAAGACATTGACAGGAGCCAATGAGTATGGCTTTCATCCTGTCCATATTCAGCTGCATATTCCATTTTATCAACTTTACCGTGAAAAGTCTGAGCTTATCTACTAGGATTATGGTTCTAAGTAAACCAATTGAGCTACGTGGGATCTTATGTAGAAATTGAGCTGTCATTATCAAAGTATAAGTAACCATTGACAGGCTATTTATTGTGGGTGAGACAACACTTTTGTAGTGAGTTTCTTCTCTTCCACTTAATGCTCAGTGGCCAGATGTGGGAGAGGAGGCACAATTGCTAGCAGTATCTGTGCCTCAATGCAAAGAGGTTCCAGTCACATTACCTACAATTCTGGAAAAACTTCTGTCCTACAAACACGCTAAACAACAACAACAACAAGATTTCATTTATAAACAATACGATAACATATAACCCATTGTTTCAAACTCATTACCTAATGGTTTCCTTCTTTTATCCACATCAAGCTTATCCATACCTGAAACTGTACCAGGTTGTTTTCCACACCTTGCCTTTGCAACATTTCCAGATGCCGGCAGCCTCTGAGGAGTCTTTTGGGATATTTTAGCTTTGTTTGCTTTCTCTTCAACACTACAAGAAGGCTCTTCCTCCAGTTCCTCCACCACTTTGGTCATAGCCATAGCTGATGTTTTGCCCTGCTCTGCTCTTTTTCGTTCTCCCATTTTTGTGGTGCGGATGGGAGTTAGCAAACGCTTTGAACGGGGCAAGGGTTCATTTCCTTCCTCCTCTTTCTCCTGCTGTTCGTTTCTTTTGTTGTAATTTAGCTGACGGCTAGCTGGTACTTTCTGAGTCGCTCCTGGATTATTATCCTCACTTGCTTTCCTTTTTTTGCTCCCGGAATGTTTCCCGGTGGGATGAAGTCCGGGTTGAACAGCAACCTTTTCCTGTACTGCTCCCTTTTTCCTTGTTTTCCCTTTCTTTGCTAGTTCTTTTTCATTCACGACGGACTTCTTTCTTTCTTTATCTGGCTCCTTATTTACCACCTTGTCTTTTCTGAACCATGACTCAAAGCAGAAGCTCTCATCATCGTTGATCTCAAACTCAAACTTGTTGTCGCTTGGTTTTATAGGGCTGGAGACAAGCTGTTTTGATGTCACTGGCAAAACAGCAGGGCTGTGAAAGAGATTTGATTAAAACACTAGCAACTAACAAGCAATTTCTCCTCACTAACTATTCATCTCCTGAAATATACAGCCAACAAACATACAGAATTAAAGCTGTAATGAAGTGAAATACTGCTTTGAAATGCTACATAATTATAACAACAACTCTAAAGAACCAGGAGGAATTTGTCTCCCTTCATTATTTCCCGAGAATCGCCTATTCATACACTTACTGAGTGATTGAAAGTGGGAGATTTCCAGTTACTGCTGGAGAGAGAGATAATTACCCACCAAATTGGGGGTCAACGTGAGCTGCTGGGAAACCCAATTTACATCCACTCCTACGCAAACTTCACATGAAATGTATTAGATTATGACAATAACTTAAGTTAACGGTACATTTTTAAACTTAAACAGTCATTGTGTGAGACCCCAGCTTTAAAGAATTTTTCAATGCAAACGCACTTGGTTCGTAAAATGTGAAATGGCGGCTCCGTAAATTTCAATTTCTTCTGATTTTGAACCTTTGACGTTGATGGTTCAACATTCGTAGCTCGACATTTTTCAATCTCCATGGGTGCAGGTTCCAATGTTTCACTTTTGTTGAAGTCAAGTCTGCAAAATCCAATTGAAAGACTAAATCAACATTACCAGGGGACAATTCAGCAAATATTCAGGAAGAGGTTTAACTAATTTAATATTTCAAGGGCTACAGAGTTGATCACTATTAGTTAGGTTAGAGAGTTATTGACAGCTGCCTGTCTGACATCGAGTCCTGGATGAGAGACAACTTTCTTCACCTTAACGTGCGCAAAACTTAGGCCCTCCTGATTGGCTCGCGTCAGCGCCTCCGCACCTCAGGCGCTGACAGCATCAGCATCCAAAGCCGCACTCTCCACCTTTCAAAGCCATCAGGAACCTCGGGGTTCTGTTCGACCCTGAGCTGTCCTTTCTCTCTCATATCTGCGCCACAACTGGCACCGCCTTCCATCACCTCCGGAACATCGCCAGACTACGGCACTACCTCACCCCTCACGCTGCTGAAACCCTGGTTCACGCCTTTATCACCTCAAGGCTGGACTATGGGAACTCTCTCCTCGCCGGCCTTCCCGCCACCTCCCTCCACAAGCTGCAGGTCATTCAGAACTCTGCAGCTCGTGTACTGTCCGCACCAGACACCGCGACCACATCACTCCCACCCTCGCTCACCTCCACTGGCTCCCCATCCTCCAGAGGATCGAATTCAAGATCCTCACCCTCACCTACAAGGCCATTCATGGCCTTGCTCCCTCCTACCTCTCCAACCTACTATCCCCCTACCTACCTGCCCGACCCTCCGTTCCTCTGGCTCCGGTCTGCTCCAAATCCCCCGCCCCAACCGCCCTACCATCGGTGGTCGGGCCTTCAGCCTCTCAGCCCCGAGGCTCTGGAACTCTATCCCCCAGTGTCTTCGCCGCCTCCTCCCTTTCCTCCTTCAAGGCCGGTCTCAAGACCTTTCTCTTTGACCGTGCCTTCAGCTCCCCTCTCGACTCTCTTCCCCTCCTCGCTCCCTCCCTTCCCTTCCCTCACACTGACCATTTCCCCTCTGCTCGGGTCCTGACCCAACTGTCCAGCGCCTTGGGACGTCCTCCCAACGTGAAAGGTGCTCTATAAATGGAATCTTGTTGTTGTTGTTGTAATTATTGGATTCAGTGTACCCACACAATACATTGCAAATTAATAAAGCACCGTTCATGTCAGGAGATTGTCTGAAAGTGCTTGGCACCATAGCTGGGGGTAGGAGCTGAGGGGAAAGATGATCAAAAGCGTGGTCAATGAGGTACGTCTTAATACAGATCTTGAACAAGCCAGAGAGGAACTCTGGGATGAAGTTTCAGAGAGCAGAGCAGATTAGCTGAAATCCATCTGCCAATTGTGGGGCAGAAAAGGGCAGGAGGACATGAAGCATACCAGTGCTCGCAAAAGGTTGCTAGGTTCAAAGCAGTTCAGAGGTAAGGTTGGATACGACAGTGGGGGTATTTAAGGGTGAAAACTGGGATCTTGAACATGATCTGCTGGGGGATGGGGAACCAATGGAGCCAAGTAAGGATGGGGTTTTAGTTTCGCTCATGGACAGGACAGGAACTGCAGAATTCTACCAATATAGAGATAGAATTGGCTAACATCAGGCTATATATAAATTCTCAATTAACGTCAATTTGGCTCACTTGGTAGTACTCTTTCCTTTGAGCTGACACACTACAATCATTAAAGTTCAGGTCCTGGGGGGAATGCTGCATTGTCACAAATGCCACCTTTTAAATGATGGCATGAACTAAAGCAAGTTCAATCTGTTCTTCAGGTGAACATTAAAGTTACTAAGGCAACATTCAAAAGCAGAAGACTGCGTCTCGAATAATTCTCTAGATTGTTGGCTTTTCGCCTTCTTATTCTTCTTTGTGCTACGTGTAAAACAGTTGTGATATTTGCCTATAAAAGTGACGGCATGCAACACTGATTACCGTGAAGTGTTTACAAATGTTGACATTGAAGACAGTATAAAAATGCAGGTTCTTTCTTTGAATGTTAATGTATAAACATTGTTAATATCAGTCTGTTGTAGAGGTGCTCACCGCAATTTTTTTAAAAAAAGTTTCTAGTTACATAAATGCCATTACCACAAGCTGGAAATAGTGATCCACAAAAGTAATGCAAACAGCAGTCATTTTTGATTGGTAAAATCAGGATGAATCTTTAGTGTGTTGATCAGGAGAATGGCTGCACAGTGAGAAAAGCTGGTGAACAACTGCTGCTAATGCTTTAGCTGGGAAACCTATAGATCACTGCTCAAATGACTTGTTCTGTTCAATTGGCTGTGACGTACCTCATTTTTGGTTTAAATTGTTCTGAGACTCTGAAAACGATTGGAGTGGAGCTCGCCAACGATTGCTCGGCATCATGGTTGCTCACTACTTTTTTCAGAGCGACGCAATCTGCTGTAGATTCTTTGGTCTCGAACTCAAGAAGACAGACGTCATCAGCTTGATTATCCATCTGGTCACTCTCATCATCAGTGGCCTCAGCTGGTTCAGCGATAACAGCAGCAGCTGCTGGAGGTTGAGGGGCAAAGCATGTTTGCAGGGGAGGTTCCAACAAGAATTCATTTGAACTCAGGCAACCTGGAAAGAAGCGGAATTAACGCATGAGTATTGAATGCACTGAATGTGCGTGTTCAAAGTGTTTCAAACAAGTTTCTATTTTCCGTTTCTGTGCATTTCCTCCGCAATAATGAACACCAATTTTATTGGAAGTAAAAGCTTTACTTTGAAAAGTGATAACTTCCCTACCACAACAACCACCACCTATAAATAATAATAATCCTTGCATCTGATACAGCACATTATGATGTCTTCAAACATCTCAAAGCGCTTTACAGAATAGACTGTAGAGTGAATTGACTGCATATTTTGTGGCGAAACGCAGCAACCAATGGTGCACAGCAGCGTCCCACAAACAGTCGTGGATTGAAGTGACCAATGTATTATTTTTTTTTGTTGAAGGAATTATTACCTCCGGAAAATCGATCCGCCAATCCACCAACAACCGGGTTCCTACTTACTGCTGGGTGGACAGAGGTGTGTGGAGTACGGAAACTTGCCCAAGGTTTCGCCCTGCCGGGAATCAAACCCAGGTCTTCTCGCTTGCGAGGCGAGTGCACTGATCACTGAGCTAAACAACAACAACAACCAGATTACATTTGTATAGCGCCTTTCACATCGGGAGGTCGTCCCAAGGCGCTGGACAGTGTACAGCATCTCAGACCCGAGCTGGGGTTTTGGGGGTGGGGGGAGGGGAAGGAGGTGGCAAGGTCAAAGAGGAGGTTTCTTGAAGCGGGACTTGAAGGAGGCTAAGGAGGGGGCGAGGCGGAGTGACTGGGGATCACATTTGTGGATCACTATTTCCAGCTTGTGGTAATGGCATTTATGTAACTAGAAACTTTTTTTTAAAAAAAATTGCGGTGAGCACCTCTACAACAGACTGATATTAACAATGTTTATACATTAACATTCAAAGAAAGAACCTGCATTTTTATACTGTCTTCAATGTCAACATTTGTAAACACTTCACGGTAATCAGTGTTGCATGCCGTCACTTTTATAGGCAAATATCACAACTGTTTTACACGTAGCACAAAGAAGAATAAGAAGGCGAAAAGCCAACAATCTAGAGAATTATTTGAGACACAGTCTTCTGCTTTTGAATGTTGCCTTAGTAACTTTAATGTTCACCTGAAGAACAGATTGTACTTGCTTTAGTTCATGCCATCATTTAAAAGATGGCATTTGTGACAATGCAGCATTCCCCCCAGGACCTGAACTTTAATGATGGAATTCCAGAGGTTGGGGGCAGAGTGGCTGAAGGCTCTCCCGCCAATGGTGGGGCGGGTGGGTCGGGGGATGTGGAGGAGTCCGGACACGGCTGAGCGGAGGGAACAGGCAGGTTGGTAGGGGGTTAGGAGGTCTCAGAGGTAGGGTGGGGTGAGGCCATGGAGGGCTTTGTAGGTGAGAATCAGGATCTTGAACTGGATCCTCTGAAGGATAGGGAGACAGTGGAGTCGGGCGAGAGTGGGGGAGATGGGGTCACGGAGTTTGGTGCGGGAGAGGACACGGGCTGCAGAGCTCTGGATGATCTGCAGTCTGTGGAGGGAGGAGTTGGAAAGGCCGACAAGCGGGGCTTTTGCATAGTCGAGCCTGGAGGTGATGAAGGCATGAACAAGAGTTTCAGCGGACCAGGACTCCACTTGCATTTATGTAACGTCCTTCATTTTTTATTATTTTATTATTACTTTTATTATTTTAATTATTATTTATGTAAAGTAAGGTCTTGGGAGTACTTCTCCCTTCCTCACACCTTCCCTGTTAAGGCACACGGTGAACCTAAATTTTGAAGCAAACCAAAATAGTGAATGCTGACCCAATAGGAGCCGAAAATAAAATGTTGCCTTTCTCAGTGTTACCATTCCTTATCGTAATGAACACAATGTTCACAAAAGAAACATTACAGAAGCAGGTTCCTCAGTCAAGCTTGACCGAGCAAAGACCTAGCATTAATTCACAGGCAGGTCCTCAGATTTGACAGGCAAAATAAGCACTTTCTAACTTCACCACAATTAGTAGCATCGCAACTATTTTTGCACACCATATTTGCGCCTCCAAATCAAACGATATTTGCACCTTCAAATTAGACAATATGCTAAATTAACAAAACTATATGCGATAAGCTCTTGGCGCGTGTCAAATACGAGCTTAAAATATGTTTGACGGCGCACACCATCCAAACACTGAAGAGAGAATGGTGTTTTTTCAATTCATCCCTATTAGCATTCAATATCACAATCCTTGCATTTCATGTACATCTTAATCCCGATGTCGAAACATCTAAAAGTGCTTCACAGGATTTTAAGTGTAGTGACGACCAGGGCTGCCAATTTGAGCACAGCAATGTTCAGCAACCACAAAGTAAATGAGGAATATTAGTTGAAACATCCGTAATTCCTGCAGAATACAACAACAATAAGACTAAATATATCAGGACAGTCTGATAAAAGTGGTACAAACCATTAATTTCCTGCATCTGGCCCGGAACCAATTTAAGTGTTTCAGCGTCTTCATGTAACGCTGCCAGTGAGACGACGTCTGGCGGATTCTAAGAAAATGGAGCAAAGTCCGGGCTTAAAAGTGTGACTTGTTTCTCCCCTTTGCTTCTTAAGATGGTGATTCATGCTGAGCACCAACAATAATAATGATTGCATTTTATATAGTCAGGTATCAGCAAAATATAATAATATAATAATAATAATAATCCTTGCTATTGATATAGCGCCTTATCATGTCTTTATGACAATCAAACTTAAAAGACCATAAAGATGGTGGAAGAGGAAATCAAATATAATCAAAATACTACAGTAATAAGTGATGTTGTAAAGCTCAGGTCAAGATGGATTGTTGGAACAAAGTAGAGGACTCTGTGAAGTGTAGGTGGCCCATATTGCACTCGACCCGAGGTGTAGGATGCTGATGGTAAATGTGTGAATTGAGAATGCCTTTTATTGTTCAACCACAAACTTAATATCCACACAATAATACTTGCATTTCATACAGCGCCTTATCACATCTTCGAAAAGTCTCAAATCGCTTCACAGAATATACTGCAAAGTGAATTGACTGTACATTTAGTTGGCGAAATGCAGTAGTCAATTGCGCACAGCAGTGTCCCACAAACAGCCGTGGACTGAAGTGACCAATTTATGATCTTTTTTTTGAAGGAATTATTACCCCCGGAAAAGCGATCTGCAAATCGACCCACAACCAGGTTCCTGCTTAATGCTTGGTGAATAGAGGCGTGTGGAGAAAGGAAATTTGCCAACAGTTTTGCCCAGCCAGGAATCGAACCCAGGCCTCTCGCTTGCAAGGCAAGTGCTCTATCAGGACTAAAATGCATCCCCTCTTCTCCTCCCCCACTTAACATTCAATTCTACATTTCAACACAATGAAATGAACAAACACTGCAGCAGTATCAAGACAAAGAATTTTAAAAAAACACACAGGTTTTTTAAAAACATGGAAAATGTGATAAAAGAATGGAACCGCGCCAGATAAAGGTAATATGGCTGCTCACCTTTATGACTGAGTGAATATTTGCACCTTCCATCACAGGTATATTCTCTTTAGAACACTGAGCTTGTGCTGTGTATGTATGATCTAGCCAGAAAAACAATTATTAATACCGTTGCATGTGAAAGACAATTGATTTAAGATCTTTCAGCGGCTTCCAATAATGCAGAATTTCAGAGAAATAGGCAGCATTATAAACAAGTAGTTACATCGTACCGATTCAGCAAAAATTCTTATGTTGTGCAAAATATTTTATGACAACAATACAATGCCAAAAACAGTTTTAGGGAACTGAGCAGCTGAAGAACATACGCCACTTTTGCTTAAAGCCCCTCAGTTGGTATCATTGGTAAAATGGTGATGCTACAAGCAGGTTAATTATTTTTTTAAAAGAGAAAACCTGAACTTCGAGCATAATCACAATCCAACGGTGTCGTTGCCACTTGCCTGGCCTGCTGGATAATATAGCACCCTGGTTCTAATACATTTGTCACTTTAACATACCCCATTTCAAGTGACAGTTAATGCAATATAAACGAGGCGACCATTTACCTGTGAAGGCATTTACCATCTCGTGTCATTTATTTATTTATTTATTTATTCATTCATTCATTCATTCTACCTGAGGGTTACTGCGCCACAACAGAATAATGAATAATATGCCTCACTGCCACTGAGTGCTGAAGCCGACTGAATTATCAGCACTCCCCAACAAAGAGCAATGTGATTTGCACTGAATTTCTCTCAAGCTTAAGGAAAGTTTTGTGCTTAAGATGCATTGCCCTGCAACGAAAAGAGGGCAGAATTCTCAAATTAGTGGCTTCAGCACATTTCAGAACCAGCTTAGCTTGAACCATTTCTCAAGTCGTCGCCGATGTAAATAAAACATTAAGAAGCCTCACCTAGTCCTTTTAAGAAGTCTTTTAGGATGGTTGATTTATTCTCATTTTTCTGACAGATGACCGGCAAAGGGTTTTCTGTCAGTCTGCAAATTAAAATCAAAACTGTATTAGCCACGTCAATATAATGATACAAGAGCAGCACTACAAATCTATTAAATCCAAACAATTACTCGAGGAGACAATCGTAACAAATTTACTATTACCAGAACAACAAAATTACATGTATAGAGCACCTTTCACGTCGGGGGGAAGTCCCAAGGCGCTGGACAGTCAGGGGTCCGGACCCGAGCATGGAGGGGAGGGGTGGGGTGGGGGTGAGGGAAGGCAGAGAGGTGTGAGGGAGACTGAAGGGAGGAGCACATGACGATGGTGAAGGGGTCTGCGAACTGACTTATTATAATTATAATTTATAATTTCCACTGTATATTTTCTGGGAGAAACATACATTCAAGTGCTGTTGGAGTCACAGGAGATTGGGAAGAACCACTCCACTCGGGCAGACGGTAGGAACGTCTCACTATAAGAACGTGGTGTTCCGGTTTGCCTTACTGTTCAGTTATCTCCTCTCCACATGTGGCAGGAACTGTCTGCTATTCAGACTGGTAGGAAGCTGATCCGTTTGGAACTATTGAATCAATTTTATTTTGTAAAGCTGTTGCTGTTTTGGAGGCTCACTGTGTGTGATTTCCCACATTTGCCTTTTAGAGTACATAAACAAGGGTAGAAGCGGTCTAGGGCGACGCAGGGTGGTTGAGCAGGCCGGGGGGTGGGGGGCTTGGAGTGATTTCTAACAAGAAGGTTGGCCATCGTTACCCCCCCCCCCCCCCCCACTCAATCCCCTCCAGCCACAATGGCCGGTCCGGTTGCATCCTGTAACGGGACAATAACGTGTTGCAGTTCTTCGGGGGATTTGCTTCTTTTTTGAGATAATGCAAATATATAATTCTATCTACAAATATATGTGTATTTAAAATACAGCTTTCATGTAACTAATGAAAAAAAATAATCCTGGCATTTGATAATAGCGCCTCATCACCTCTTTGAGACGTCTCAAACCGCCTCACAGAATATACTGTGAAGTGAATTGACCGTACGTATATTTTGTGGGCGAAACGCAGCAGCGTCCCACAGACAGTCGTGGATCGAAGTGACCAACTTTTTTTTTAAAGGAATTGTTACCCCACATATTCTAACATTATTAGAATAACATAATGTTATTACTAAATGCAGTTAGAAAGGGATTATCCTGCTATAAACCCACATGAATGTCAACACACCCAACGACAACAGAGGCTCAACCTCAGACTGCAGCAAAGCGCACCAAGGAAACGAGACACTTAGAAAACGATCAGCAACAATGTCATGCAACTGTCTGTCAAGCTGTGCTGTCACCAAGTTCTGGAGGACAACGGTTCTTCCCAATCTCCTGCAACTCCAACAGCACTTGAATGTATGTTTCTCCCACAAAATATGCACAAAATATACAGTCAATTCACTTTACAGTCAATATTGAGGCCAGAGGGCAGATAGATGAGGTGCTGTTCCTCGAGCTGCGCTGTGGCTCACTGGAACAGCGTAGGAGACCGTGTGAATGGAGAGGTCAGAGTGGGAGGGAGAGAGGAAGTGGCAAGAGACCGGACCCTCAGGGTTGTGCTTGCGGACAGAATGGAGGTGTTTGGCAAATCTGCGTTTGGTTCCCCCCCCAATGTAGAGGAGACCACATTGTGAGCAGCGAATGCAGTAACTACATTGGCGGTTCTTGTTTCCGGTTTCCACATCTGCAGCATTTAGCTTTTTGCGTAAAATGAAGCTATATAGCAAGAGCTACGATAGAAACAAACAACCGGCATAACATAGACATAACAGGAAATGCATTTATTTAGCGCCCCTCACGCTGGGTAGCGTCCCAGAGCGCTTAAGCATAACAAGAATGTAATCTGCACAACTGCTCTTTTTTAGAGGGAGGGCATCAATTGTATTAGCATTGTGATTAAAGGCAATGAAAAACAATTAGTGAATGCACTTGAAAAGAACAGGTGGTAGATATTTTGATCCTATTTTCCTGCAATTTATGTAGCTCAGTGGTTGGAGCACTCGCCTCGCAAGCGAGAGACCTGGGTTTGATTCCCGCAGGTCAGGGCGAAACCTTGGGCAAGTCTCCTTACTCCACACACCTGATAATAACTCGGTTGTTAAGTCGATTGGTGGATCGCTTTTCCGGGGGTAATAATCCCTCCCAAAAAAATAATAATTTGGTCACTCATTGCACTTTTTGTGGGACACTGCTGTGAGCAATTGGTTGCTGCGATTCTCCCACAAAATGTCCTGTCAATTCACTTCACAATATATTCCACAAAGAGCTTTAAATAACTCAACGATGTAATAAAGCACCATATCAAATGCAAGGATGATTATTATTATTATTTCCTGTCTGCCTGTTCAGGGGATATTAGAGGTCACATGGCACAATTCAAAAAGAGAAGGGCATTTCTTCCAGCGTCCTGGCTAACAATCCTCCATATAAAATCAATCATTCACTTCATGGCTGGTGGTGGAACATTGTTATGAACAAATGAACTGCTATGTTCACCCACAAATCCACAAATAGTCACTAAACTTCACAATGCATCCTGTGCAGCGCTTTGAGACGTCTCAACAATGTGACAAGGTGCTATATCAATGCAGGAATGGTTTACTATAAAAGTTCTTTCTAGATGCGAAAGATCACTGCAATGTACATTAAAATTCTCTGGTTGGATCATAGTTGGTATTCATTTATTGTTTGTTGTGCATCGCTTGAAATGAATGATTTTTACTGAAGAGCAATTCTTCAAATTTGTGAAGAAGAGTGAAGAGTGTGCAAACAACAACTTGTATTTATAAAGCACCCCCTCACACAGGTTCGGGTCCCAGAGCACTTGGTATATAAAGTAATTTACCAAAGAGTTTGTGTAAAATACTTGAATACATTGTGCAACAGGGACTAACACAAAGCTATTACTCAAAATGAGAATACTATATTTAAAGTAAATCATCACCAGAACTAATCATATCCATCAAAAAAATCGCCCTGCGAGTATGAACAAAAAACAGTCGCGCAAGTATCCAGTGAATTTTGTAAAATAAAATTTACTGTCATACTGAATCTTATTCATATATAGAATATGACAGACAGGCTGCGAAGGAAACCATTCCATGCACGAGAGTGAATCAAGTTTTGCTTTTATTAGCGATAAATGCAGTTCACAGATAAGACACTTATTTCAAGAAAGAGCATTACATGATTGATTTGAAGTCTCTTAACGGGTTTATTACATCAATCCCAGTTTACATTGTCTGAGGTTTGAATAGCTTGCTCTATATACATATAAGTTGTTATACAATCCAGATATTACAATATTTCCATATTAAAAAAAGAAACTTTTTATAACATTTTCTGATAGTTGGCCAAAATAAGACCATTTTCTCCAAGTCCCTTCAATATATCCCAGAAGAATCACACAGATTAAGATGCCTATATTAGATTTAAAATAATTGTGCATACCAAATCATTATTTTCCATAAGTTAAAGTAAACAGAAGTGCAAACATACCTTATTTTTCACTTGGAACTTCTGCTATTGCCATGAATGACTACAATGCCCCATTTATCACTTGCCATAGGTATGGCTCTCATTTAGGAGTGTCCCATGTACTGATACAAAAGTTCCTACTATACAATGCTCGCTATTTAAACTACAAGTCCTGGGGAAAAAAATACAGAATGCATCCTTCATTGAACAATTACCCGCCAACATATACAAATACACAAAAATTGAGATCCTCTGTCTTCGCGTACTCTCCCAGCAAGCATTTTAGTGCTAGCCTGTCAAATAAATACCAAGGATGTGGTCAGAGTACTTGCTTCAAATTCAACAGTGAATGCATAAACCACACAAATACAGCTCGGTTGGGAAACCAAGTCAGTAGCCACATAGTCATCATCTTTGTTCTTCGTAATTTTCAAGCAGTTACATGGAAATGATCTGCTTGTAACAATTTAAGACAAAAATATTCTCACTCGGAATGCATCGTTTCTTCTAATGGACTGAACAGCACAGTATAAATTATCAGTGTTTACAGCATCCAAAGCTCTGCTTTGATATGTCTTTCAACTCTGTCTATAGCTCATTTCCTCTAGATAAATCTAGGATGAGAGCTTGAAAGTCAGAGCCTCTGTGGGACAGTGTTGCCAGACTGCTGAACAAACACCGCGTGGAACTATACTCAAAAAGACAAGTCACCCAGACGACCTAACCTATGAACGGTGCAGTAACGATAACATCTGTGCAGAAATATGACCTATTGGATTCCACTCTCTTGACTGATGGATGACACCAGAGGCAGAAAAGCACAGTTAACAGAAGAAAAGGATGTTTTAAAAAATGCTGATGGCTAGCAGGAAGCAATATACAACCACATACCAGACATTTGGATTACAAAATATTTAGTCGTGTTTGTCATGTCATTTGTGGATTCCTGTAACGTAGTGGTGAGACCACTCGCCTCGCAAGTGAGAGGAAACTGGGTTTGATAGAGGGAGAGAGCGAGACTGAGAGGGAGAGAGACAGAGATGTATATAGAGAAACTGGGAGAGAGAGAGAGAGAGAGAGAGAGATATAGAGAAAGAGTGAGACAGGGACTGTTATACAGAGAGATGGAGAGAGAGAGATTTGGTGAAAGAGAGAGAAATCATTTTTCATTAGCTAGAAGTCAGGAAAATAATTCTTGTCCTTCGAATAATATTACGGCAATAGAATTCCATCTTCTTGGAAATGTAAACTATGATGATTCAGATTCACAAACTTGACTTCCATTTAATTGTAAATCAGCAGCATCTCTGGGGAAGGCTGCGATCTGACACTGCTGATTTTTATTGCATTATAATAATAAGTCTTTGCATTTGATACAGCACCTTACCACGTCTTCAAGACGTCTCAAAGCGCTTCGCAGGATACACTGTCAAGTGAATTGACTGTATATTTTGTGGGCGAAACGCGGCAGCCAAGTGCCGCAGCAGTGTCCCCCAAACAGTCATGGATTGAGTGACCAAATTATTATTATTTATTTATTTATTGAAGGGATTATCACGCCCGGAAAAGCGATCCACCAATCAACTAACAACCAGAATTACTTTTCACAGTACACAAGTCAACACACACATTAAATCCACTGAACTGTACACCTGTACAGTATAAAATACTGCAGATTGATTTGGGATTATAACCTAAACCTGTTTTTACACTGAAAGGCAGTGTGACAGCAGAATTAATCCAATTCAAAGTATTCTCCCATTTTATGCATTCATTTTTCAAAATAAATTCTTCCTTCAAAACAGAAATCAGTTCAGTTAACTCCTGACTAAATGATAGAAACAAAAGGGTCCACGGACCAAAAGGAAGTGGGTCTCAATCAGGTACTTGATCTCTCTAACTTCATCTGTGTGAAAATAGTACACGTGTACAATTAACTGAAGTGCTTGATTGTGACCCACAATCGTACTTGAAAAAAGACAACTGAGAATTAACTAAGTTAATACAAAGTATTTTTTGTTGAAAGTTTAGAGCGAGGTTTCACTTGGTCACCGATACAGATAATATGCTAAAAACATAGCACTGCACTGGCATTCTGCAACCACCTGAATAGGGTCTACTTTTGCTCTCTGGTCACTGAAATCTGCAGCAAAAAGAAAGTCACAAATGTCTCAACATCTCGATTCACAATGAATATACACACACTCAGGAACAGCAAAATTTACATTATTAAAGAAACCAACATGAAGATTTAAGAAATAAGTTTTTTTTGACAGAAATTTCTACAGTCAGAAAGATATAAATTATAGTCTGAGAAGGCTAACAAGATGAACATTTTTGCACTACGGTAATCTTTTTAGTAGGCCATGGGAAAATTAAATAAAATGGACAAAAGGCAGCATGATAAAGGTACAGGCAAAATACACCAGAGAACATAGGCTACACAAGATAGGTCGGCATACCGACAGGAATGCATCATCTTAAACTTGAAAAAGACGACCGTGTCACTTTCTTTACCCAAATTTAAGTCTACAGCTCCTGGCACATTGTTCAGATGGTCTTCATATCCTTTCATTCTTTCTCTGAAGACTTCTCACAAGCATGTACTATGTTTTTGACAGTCACAATGCAGAATGAGCTACCAAACCTTAAGTCTTCAAAAGCAAAACATTTTGTACTCATTTTAATGGTAAAAATGTGGCCCCGAACACAGGCATCAAAGCACAGGCATCAATCACCCTGCAGCACAAAACGATTGTCTTAACAATGCAGAAAGAGGCATCAGTCAAGGGGAGGGGGGAAAACTCCTATCATTTTAAAACTACAGATATGCTGTGTCGTGTTTTTAAGACAGCTGAATGTTTTGCAGTTGTTATTCAGGAAGATGAAAAACAGATTCGCAATGGAACACTTGAACGAGCACCAATCATCGTATCTGTCGGCCAAGGATTTCAGAAGAGGGCCTTCGACCCCTGGTTTTCAAATTCTGACCAAGCATCATTCAACTCCATGAAGATCATTTTGGCATGTTGTTCATAGGACTGTCCCGTTGCCTTAATGTGAAGGAGAGAAAAAAACGAGTTTTAATACCCGCTTCTAAGAGAGTGTTTAATTATTTCTGCATTAAAATTTCAAATATAAAAATGACGTGCCCTTTAAACTTGCTGCGGGGATCTGGCTGCCACTATTGTCCACAAAATACACACTTTACAATCTATTTTGTGAAGCGCTTTGAGATGTCTCAACGACGTGATATGGTGCTATATCAAATGCAAGGATTATTATTATGATAAAAAAACTTGTTTGAGGATTTCTAAACCAACTCCAAATCTCAGTTTTTCAGGTTTGTTTTGAGTGTAACAATGAGTAGGATTTAATTATGCTTTTACATTTTAGTTTAAAATTCTTTTGAAATAAGGCATTGGTTTTTGGAAGTTTGCAAATAACCGATTTTCCCTATTTCTACACTTACGGCAGAAATGTTTATAACAATATTTGTATAACAAATATGTGCGTTTCGCCCATAAAATATAGTCAATTGACTTTACAGTATATCTGTGAAGCGCTTTGAGACGTCTTGAAGACATTAATAGGCACTGTATCAAATGCAAGGATTATTATTATTATCAAAGGATTGTTTTTAACTTTACCTTGTCTGGATGAACCACCAGTACTGCTTTCCTATAGGACTTCTTCACTTGATCTGGCTGAACTATGTCTGCCATGCCAACAGGTTTCCATTTGGTTTCACCTTCCCACAGAACTGTGTGCAGAGTTGACAGCAAAGCCCTTATATTTCTCTCTTTCCCTTCAATCCAATCCAAGATCTGTTCAGGAAAAATAACACTTGGTAGTTATAACTTCAATAACCTGTGACCAAAGACATCAGCATCTTGCAAAATATTTATTTTCAATGTTATCATATCTTATAGAACCTAACCCAAGACAAACGTTTGTGAGTTGAGCAATGAAGCTACAGCTGTCCCATTAATTGGATTCGTGCAAGTGAACCTCAAAATAAGGGAAAACGTTGAAATAAAAACATAAATGCTTAAGATACACAGTAGGTCAACAGGCACCTATAAGGGAAGGACGAGCTCAGTTAAGGTGCTAATGAATACTACAGACTGCTCGAGTGCTGATATAGAAAAAATAGACGGCCAGAATTCGGTGGACAAGGTAGAACGAGGTCGAAAAGTGAAAATGAGTCTGGTGGGGCAGAGTAAGCTGACACAACACATTTGTCCAAACTGTTCCCTTTGTCAGTCTTGAGGAGGAGCTACTGGCAGATAGTGCAAGCTTAGGGAATAGTGAGATTGGAACAGACAAGGCAAGATTCAAGGGGAAAATAGAAACAAGGGTGAAACAGTTTGTCTTTAGTTACGTACCCAAAAGCAGACACTACCCAACTTAGTCGAAAGGTTTGGTGGCAATTTTGGTGTTGGACTGGAGTGTTCAGAGAGAAATAGAGCAAAGAGTAAAGTGCAGAAATTAAGATGTTGTGGCAGAAGTTTGTCAATAAAAAGATCAGGCAAGGAAAATGAGGGATCTAGCAGCCAAACAGACTGGAGCCTTGGATCAGAATCGTAACAGAGAGCTGTCTGCCCAAGAAGAAAGTCAAAGGTACAGATTAAAGTTTATCTAAAACAGAAACCTAGGTCAACATTTCGGGTTTATTTCAATTATAGGGATTACACGTAGAATCATAGAATAATAGAGCACAGAAGGAGACCATTTGGGCCATCGTGTCTGTGGCGGCTCTTTGAAAACAGTTATCCAAATCAATCCCACTTCCCCGCTCTCTCCCCATAGACCTGCAAACTTGTCCTCCCCAAATAATTATCTACTTCTCTCTTAAAAGTTGTTATCAAATCGGCTTCCACCGCCCTTTCAGCCAATGCATTCCAGATCCAAACAACTTGCTGTGTGAAAACATTTCTCCTCACCTCCCCTCTGTTTCTTTTAACAACTATTTTAAATCGATGCCCTCGGGTTACGGACCCACCCGCCAGTGGGAATAGTTTCTCCTTGTTCACCCTATCGAATCCCCTTATAATTTTGAAAACTTCTATTAAGTCTCCTCTTAAGTTTAACCTTCTCCACTCCAAGGAGAATAATCCAAGTTCTCTAACCTCTCTGGGGAAACTCAAATTAGATGCTTTCTGCAAGAGCTGCAAAGTACAAAATAAAATAATTAGATATAAATGCATCAATTAGGCAAACCTTTAGTTTCAAGGGATCCATCTCCTTAGTCAGTTCTTCTCTACGCATTTCTGCAATAGTCTTCGGTCCTTTCTTGTCCATTGTACTGGAAAACCCCTGGTCAGACAACAGGTCCTGAAAGTCATTCATTGAAACCTTTGGCTTTGGCCCTGGAAGAAGCAAAAACTGAATGTAATGACTGGCAGGAACCCAGAGTGCAAACGTCCTTTACACCACGTGATTGCACAGCATTAAATCATTTACTTTAAAAAAAAACACACAATATATAAAAAAAAAGGAAAGATTACCAAATCCAGGTCCACGGATTCCTCTCTCCTCGCGACTTCCTATCACACTGAAAGCAACATTGTAATTTGGTTTGCCCTGGGCCATGGGTTTGGGCTGCTGTGGTTTTGATTGCTGCCTTGCAGTGTTACTGGCCAGAGGTCTGCCTGCTTGCCATGACCCGCTGCTCAAAGGTGCTTGGGCAGGTTTCTGAGTGAATCCGCCAGCTGGGAATCCCCCACTCATAGAGCCTGGAACGAGAAGCACAGTCAGGAGTGATGTTATTAGCTATAATAAAAACACACGTCGCTGGGAACACGAAGCAGGTCAGGTAATGTGAGCTAACTGTGTTTAATCATTTGTGTTTGAATGTTCTTGTTATTCGCAAAAAGGTAAAGCTAGTCGGGGAAAGCAGCTGGAGAAGGTACTGAGGTGAGCAGTGTTAAGGGCTAAATTAACACTTTACTGAATTGCCGATTGTGAAGGTCACTTCAGCTCCCACTTTACCTTCAAGACAATGTTTTTTCCCAGTGAGGCCAGAAGAATGTTGAATTATCTCAAAAGCATAGTCATGTACAGTGGCCTTTTTATTGCAAACAAACAAATGTTGAAAACCAAAGAATCTAGAGGATTATTGACAATACATTTTTAAATAATATCATGGTCCAGACAACAAAACCATGTCTTAAGCATCCAAAGGATGATATTTCTGACAATGCAGCACCTCCCCAGTCATGCACTGGAGTCCAAAATATGAGTTCAAGTCCCGACATAGGGCTCAAACCCACAAATTTCTGTTTCAGAGGCACGATTGCCACTGTAAGAAAAAAAACCATTCAAATCGGTGGTTATTAAAAAGTTCGATTCAATCACAATGCTTGCGTTTGATACAGCGCCTAATCACGTCTTTGAGATGTCTCAAAGCATTTCACAGAACATACTGTAAAATGAATTGACTGTACATTTTGTGGGCGAAATTTAAGCTGTATAGGCAGGTTAATTTTGGTCAAGATAACAAATTACAAAGGCTTCTAAGAGGTGAACCAAAAAGCCTCTGTCTTGTCATCTTAATGCTAAACAGATAGGAGATAAAAATATAGCAGGTTAAATTGCTGAGCATCCAGCATTATTGAACACTTTGAATACTTTCCAGAATCAGGTAATCAGGATGTGTCCCTCCAGGGAGAGAGTGCGTATTCCATTACAACAATCCACCTCTGGGATTTCCATGTGTAGATGGGATGCATGGAAATCTCAGCTTGGTTTGGATACTCTTAAGTACGGTGATGGGTTTCCGCATGTGTCAGACACCCGGCTGACCAAAAAAAATGTAAAGCACTAATTCAGGAACTAAAGTTCTTAGCTTCTTTGTTTTAACTTTCAGCCCTTAGACTTAATATGCTGTTATGTGTTTAACAACTTGAATTGCAAATCGGGAATAAAATAACTTAAAAGATTCTATTTTGTGTTGTTAAAATTTCATCTTGATCCCTGGTTAGATCGGTGACCTGATTTGTCAGTTTTCTGAAAAATCTTGAGTCCAAATAAGAAAGCTAGTGTCTGTCTCTCAAGAGAAATATTTTCTTAAAGGGGCAGGATTTGTAATTGTCAACAGAAGAGCGGTTTGCAAATCACCTAATTGATGAATAAACACTGAATTTGAACTTGTCTGAATTTGATGCAAGATGGTTCAGTCACTTTCAGAAGATATTCAAAGGCTCTCCCTAAACCATTCTGAGAATGTATCATCTTTTAGCATCGAAAAGGTGGTGGTTGTATGAGAAATACATCTGCTACATTAAGTTCTTACAACCTGAACTTCATTCAGTACATCAGTACATTTTCTTATATTATTGGTTTGCTTATCTGGAATAGAACATTAATCTTCTTACATTACTCGTAGTGAGCCGAACAGTAAAACGTTTAATAATGAAAAAAACGCAGCAAATTGATTCAAGATCTTCAAGTTTTAAGCACTGACTACAAAGATGTGGCATTACAAATTTAAAAATCAGAATTAGGCAGGTTGCGTAAAAAGTTCTGACAAGCAAATTCAAGGCATTAACTAGACTATGAGGCGCAACGCTCAACCTCTGTCAACAAATCCCGAACATTACCTGGTAAATTGGAACCAAGGTTACCAAGATCAGCAAATGGGTCAAAGCTCTGAGGCTTGGGTGTAGCTGATGAAGTACTGGTGGCAGCACTGGTTGCTGGTCCACTTGAAGGAAATGTAGAACCTACATTAGGAACAACCACAAATGGTTTGAGGACCAGCAGCTAGGTTACAAAATAAGCCGAAAGGTGCAACTAGATTACATTGTCCCACAAATCCCAAACCAGAACAAATCTCCTTCCAGAAACATTTTAAAAACAAACCTAAAAGGCATTCTATAGCTAATAGAATGGTATTTTAAATCAGTCACAGGTACAAAATCCTCTAATGAATAATTGTATTATAATATAGAGCTACCACTGTTAATTATGCATAGATACATACAGAAGTAACGTGAATAGGCCTGCAAATAACAGGCATGATGTATCGGTATATTTTGTGCACATTCATAAGTGTACTGTTTTTACCAATGATTCATCACACATGGGTGAAAGTCACATTAGTTTTCTGGTCTTTCTACTTTGCACCTAGAAAAAATAGGCGCACATCTAATACTACAAGGAGGAATGCACGGCAAAAAGAATTGCATGCATTTTTATGGTAACAGGTTGAATTTTTTCAAAGAACATAAGAATTTGCTAGATGGAAGAAGACCACGGTCCACCCAGTTCTCCTTTCACCATCCTGGTAGTTGCTTTGACATTTTGTGTCCCAAACTATATATTGTATCCCGAAAAATGAATTTTTAACAGAAATCTATCTAATTTGTTCTTGAAAGAATAGACTTTCTGCTTCCACCATTTCCCTAGGGAGCCTGTTCCATACATCAAGTACTTCACATCGATGCAAAGCTAGGTTCTAAGTTCTGAACAGCTCAGTCTGTGACAAAATTTAATTGATTCAAACTAAATTTGCATCCTTACTGAGATGAACAATCCAGCAATCTGGTTGGAAATGTCATAATCCTTCTACCCAAGCCATCTACTGTTGCCACTAATAATCAATCCCACGTCTTGGATTGTTTTTGTTTTAAACTATAGCAAAATTCACCCAAAGGACAAGAAATCTTTCTATTTCTATCTTTCAAATCTAATTGAAAATCTTTCTTCAAAGTATGAAATGTGTTACTTTGGGCTGTAGCTCCAAACGAAGGCTTGTTGCTCTGTGGCGGCATTGTGTTGTTGTTGGAAGCCCATGTGTCCCAGGAACTCATCAGGTCAGGCTGACTGGCAGAAGACGACACCTTGGATGACTCAGGTGGCACGTTACCTTGAGATAAATACATTTTGTTACGTTTCCGTATTTCAAATACTTACAGCACAATCTCTTTCTTAGAAACACAAAGGCCAAATGATGGAAGACAGTAAAAACAAACTGATTGAACAATTTTCTTTGGCTTACAAGAGTCACACAAATGTCTCCAAATTTTTGGCTCTGTTGGCAGTACTCTTGCCTCCGAGTCAGAAGGTTGTGAACTCATAGTCTCAGCTGACACTCAAATGCAAAGCGCTGCTGCAGTATTGGAGGCGCTATCCTTTGGATGAGATGTTACAACAAGGTCCTGTCTTTTCTTTAGGTGGACATAACAATCTAATGGCATTGTTCAAAAAGAAAATGGGGGCTGCTTCATAGTCGTTTTATGCACCTTTGGCATCCCAAGGGAAGATATCCCGATGTGAAAGGTGCTGTACTAATGTATTTTTGTACTGTACCCTAACCTTGAGTCACCACCTTCAGGAATAGACAGGAAAATTGTGGGTGGATTAAATTTGCTACAATTCACTATATTATTATTGATCTGGGAATGGAATACTGTATTATCAGACCTCTTACCTAGATTAAAGAAACTGGAGCTGGAGGATGGAGCAGGGACATTATTTGTAGACGGTAAAGTTGTAGTGCTGGGATCAAGGAAGTTTCCAAACAGATCAGTCTCAGACTGGCTTGGGTCTGTTGTTGGAGATGCCGTACCAAACGGATCAAAGGGATCTTTGAAAAAGCAGATAAATAAAATTAATACAGTTTCCATCAAGTTAGCAGCCCATTTCATATTGGCTATCAGTTCGTGGAATGGAAAGAGAAGTTTGTGCATAAAAGTTATTATTGTACTATTTTCCTTCAAAATCAATTTTGAAATAATTTAGTCACTCAATCTACAAGTGTTTTTGGGACACTGCTGTATGCAATTGGTTGCCGTGTTTTGCCCCAAAATATACAGTCAATTCATTTTACAGTATATTCTGTGAAGCGATTTGAGACGTCTCGAAGACGTGATAAGGTACTATATCAAACGCAAGGATTATTATTATTATTACCTTATCTCAAGACTCACTGAAATGATCAACTCACACTACACCAGAACAGACAATATTTAATGAAAACAGTTCAATTGCTGGATTTACAAGCTCATCAAAACTGTTATTTAACACAAAATTGTCATTTATTAGTATGACACCTTACCTCCCTAATCTTTCCTTCCTGACACAATCCACAGCCTTTTAAACCACAAGCTTGGTATTACCTTGGAATATTATTACTTTGCTTTCCATTTCATTTTTTTCCCATTGAGGTCTTATAATGGATTAGCTGTACCCGTTACAGCTATGCTTGCAATCAGTTTAATTTAATCGTCCTTCTCTCTTTCATCTGTCATTTTTATTTGTCCTTGAAAGGCTTCTTAGGCATCTTTATCTCTTAAGATTAAGAAAATGTGCTATTGAACTTGTTAGCATCCCTTGTTCACATATTTGCGCACATATCCTTTTGGGAGGACTCCTGTTGGGAGGACTCAGTGGGAAGACTCAGTGAAAGAACTCCTGGTTGGGAGGACTCCTGGTTGGGAGGACTCTTGGATGGAGTCCATACATGTGTAATGAGCTTGTTTAAGTCACGATAGGAGATCCCAGAAAACAAATATGCCCATGACACTCCCCAAGCAAGACCTTTCCGATGAGGTATAAATCATGTCTCTAAGTCAATCGGTTAGACAGACACAGACAGACATTTCTCCTTTATTAGTATAAGATAGACGCTGACTAAAATTAACTTGGCAAGTTAATTTTAACTCTGACTAAAATTAACTTGGCAAGCAACACTTATTATATTGAAAATAAAACAGAAGTCGTTGGGAAAACTCAGCAGGTCAGGCAGCATCTATGTTCCCAGCGACTTCTGTTTTTGTTTTCAGAATTCCAGCATCTGTAGTATTTTCTGTTTCGTTTCTTATATTGATTTGATGCAAGGAAATAATAGTTTGTGTGCAATGCGGTCTGCAGTTTCATACAAATAGGGAATACTTTATTGAAAAAAATAACTTATTCATTTATAATAATATGTAATATGTATAATAATCCTTGCATTTGATATAGCGCTTTTCACGTCTTCTAGACGTCTCAAAGCGCTTCACAGAATATACTGTAAAGTGATTGACTGTCGATTTGTAGGCGAAACGCGGCAGCCAATTGCGCACAGCAGTGTCCCACAAACAGTCGTGGATTGAAGTGACCAATTTATTGTTGTTTTTTTTTCTTGAGGGATTATTTTCAGGCGTGTGGAGTAAGGAAACTTGCCCAAGGTTTCACCCTGACCTGCTGGGAATCAAATCCAGATCTCTCGCTTGCGAGGCAAGTGCTGTAACCACTGAGCTACAGGACTCCACTGTACCACATTTACAATGTTAGTGCCAGCAAATTTTCCTTAATTATGCCACAAAATACTTTTGTGTAATTCATTATTCTTCCCCCTAAATAAATTTTCCACAATCTAACAGGGGAGGAGGGGAAGAGAAAACATCCTCTTCTGCTAACAACTATAGATCTCTTGTATATTTCAGCAAGAAACCCGCTGGTAGCAAAGGGAGTGACAACCGTCCCAAAATAGCTAATGAGCTGCTGAGAGATGAGATGAAAATATCCGTTTAAACGTATGTATATGCATTTATGACAGGAACCAGATATTCTTTTGAGTGACCTGGCCTATGGGTTGAAGTTACGACCCATGGCAGCTAAATGTAATGATTCTCACAATCTCGATTTATAATTCGAAATTCTTATTATGATTTGAGTGTCAAAGTCTTTATTAGTCACAGTATGTGGTGGCAAGTGGAATTCACTCCATGGTTCCTAAGTAATTAATTCTTTCAACCATTTTAACACACTGCTTAGACTTACAGTTTCAGTTCTGCTTGTTGACCTGTAAAGTAATTTTTTTTCAAAATTAAGATATAATCTTACAAGTGAGTGCCACTATCATACATACCAGCTGAAGTGTGTGCTGTAGAAGACACTGGAACTGGTTCTACAGAGGGTAGGGGTGCTCCACTAAAGAAGAAATCTTCCTCCCCTCCAATAAGGTCAGTCGAGAGATCCTGTGGCATTTCTGATGTACTTCCGGCAAACAAGTCATTCAGCAAGTCAGCATTGCTGGACGAGCTCTTCAGTTCAATTGTCGGAGGGGCAGCCTCACATGGCTCATCAGTGTCAAGTCCAAGCAAATCCACATTGTCTACTTCAGAGGATTCTATCGGTTGCTCAGATGCTGCTCCGAAATCTGCTTCAAAGAAAAAGTTGACAGTATTCTTTTCCTCGAGCTGAGCTGGGCTTTCTGGCTCCTCATCAACCTTTGCCGCACTGCGCGCACTAGAAAATACAGCAAATTCATCCTCCGATGGCCCACTTTCATCCACCAGCCCACTGTGGTCATCCTCATTCGGAGATTGTTCCTCATTCGTCCTCGAATCAGCTTCTCTTTCTTCTGGATAAACAAAAAGGTCAGATTGAGTAATGACTGATTTCTCTCTACACATTTGGTTTCTCTGCTTTTCTAGAAAATAACTTGTGCCGCATATAAATGCCAGCCACCCTCAGTACCTTGTGTAGATAGCAATTCACGAAACCCAAAGAGCAAGGGATTGTCAGGGGGCTATTTGACTGCGGAGTATATTAAAGCAAGCCTAACCACATTCTTACTTGCTCTTACAAGTGCATCTGTTTGTGGCTTCCTGAAGTCAGTGGTTAGTGAGCTCACCTCGCAAGCGAGATTCCCGGGCGGGGCAAAACCTTAGGCAAGTTTCCTTACCCCACTGTTTATCTAGCAGCAAGTAGGAACCCGGTTGATGGTCGATTGGTGGATCGTTTTCCGGGGGTAATAATCCCTCCAATTAAAAAAATAAATGCAAATTTGGTCACTCAATCCACCATCGTTTATATGTTATAACACCCTCTTATCACATCGAAGATGTGATAAGGCGCTATATTAAATGCAAGGATTATTATTATTATTATACGATGGCTTACCCCACTAAAAAAAAAGCTGACTTCTGTTTTTTAGGTTGCCACTGACGTCATTTCTTGCATGTTGTGCACAAGTACCACCATTGATATCACTTCTCAAAGGAAGTGACAACAGCAGGGTTGTTTGTGTGTCGTGTGCCTGTGCAGTACACATGAACAGTGATCATACACTGAACATACACATCAACAGTGATCCCACAACCCGCAAGTCAACCTTTTTCATGCTTCACTTCTGACATGGTTTCTAGCTATTGGATCCAGAGAATCATGTTATAATGAAGTCCCTGTGGCTAAAGATGGCAATTCTGGACATGCTTCAAAAACCTTGATTAAATTGACTAAAGCAAAAATAACCAATGCTTTTGTTCCTGTAAAGCCACTCATACTACAGTTTTATTAAAACATTAAGAAGCTGCTTAAATTCGAATGATCTTATGGTGATTAAATGAAACACAGATCGGATAGATTTGTTTTAGGAAATAACATTATGGGATATAGTACATAGGTAATTTGGGATACATGTGCAAGCTATTGCCAGGAAGGTGGGAGGCGAACTAGATGGACCCTGGTCTTTTTTCGTCTAGCATTTCTTATGATCTTATGTTATGTGATAAAACAAAAAAAAGATTATTTAAGAATAAAATTTAAACATCTCTCCTCCTCCTTGCACAACTTAACCTGTCTAATTTTCTGATGTTCTATGGACTAAACCAACATGACTTGAAAAAGAATATAATAATATTCCTTGCATGTGATGTAGCGCCTTATGATCAAAATAAATTTAAAAAAGAAACCATTTTATGATTTTCCTCCAAAATGTTTGCCTCTGTATAAGTGTACAGCTTTATGTGGTTTCAGAACCACAACAGTCCATTTTTTCAGAGGGTACATGACTCACAACACTGGTCTCTGATAGCAATCGTTTGGTAATGAGATTGTCACTAGAAACAGTCATATCCCTTCAATTACATTGGTGAAGACAACCCAACATTTTGTGTAGGCTGGAGTTTGTCCAACCACAAGGTCCCTCTTTTTGAAAGATTACAATAGGGATGGTAAAGCATGTAAAGCCATGTAAAGCAAAGGCCAGTGTTAAACAGAAACTTGGATTGTACTTTAATGAAGAAGAAGGAGGAGATGCACTCACCTTGCCAGTCTAACGTTTCGAAAAAAACGTTTTCACTCTGGAGTGACGTCTTGTCTGCTGCATCCATACTCTCTGCACCAGGATCAGGTGTGGCTTCTTCTGCATCATATTGTGCTGTTGAACCTGGCTGTCTGGGCAGTTCAGGTTTTCCTTTATGATGAGTAAAACATTTGTAAATGAAAGGTACATTTTGCCTGATAATTTATTGTCGTCCCTATATATAAAAAAAGTAAAATTCACTTTACAGTATATGCTGTGAAGTGCTTTGAGACGTCTTGACGAAGTGATAAGGCGCTATATGTCAGTTCATAGTTTTGGTGACATAGTATGAAATAGTACAGTCAATGTTGTTAAACTATAGACCTCAACATTATCCAGTTAAGGAAACCATAGAATACTGAAACTAGTTTATGTTCTTGTTTTAAACAATCAACACAGCAAAATACAATTTTACTTGACTGTGAATTACTACTGAATGAATCAAATGGGTATAATAGGAAGATTTTTCACTTTAGCTAAAATAGCATTTATTTCTATTGGATCAGAAGTCAGTTTCTTCTAAATCTCCTCTTTGAACATCAACCTGGGTTATAATAATAAACCTTACATTGATTTAGCGTCTTATCACGTCTTTGAGATGCTTCACAGAATATACTGTAGTGAATTGACTGTGTACTTTGTGGGAGAACAGTCATGGACTGAGTGACCAAATCATTATTATTCTTTTTTTTTTAACCCCCGGAAAAGCAATCTGCCAATCGACAAACAACCAGGTTCCTACTTACTGCTTACTGCTAGGTGTGTGTGGAGTAAGGAAACTTGCCCAATCTTTCGCCCTCCCCAGGAATCAAAACTAGGTCCTCTCGCTTGCGAGGTGAGTGCTCTAACCACTGAGCTACAGCACTCCACAGGTTTGGTGGTAGCACTCTCGCCTCATTGCTATGCGCAAACTGGCTGCTGCGTTTCTCCACAAAATACAGTCAATTAACTTTGCAGTATATTCTGTGAAGCCCTTTGCGACATCTCGAAGACATGATAATAAATTTTTCATTTCAATCCACGACTGTTTGTGGGACACTGCTGTACGCAATTGGCTGCCGCGTTTCGCCCACAAATATACAGTCAATTCACTTTACAGCACATTCTGTGAAGTGCTTTGAGATGTCTTGACTGAGTGATAAGACGCTGTATCAAATGCAAGGACTATTATTGTTTCGCCCACAAAATATACAGTCATAAATGTCCTGACAGGGCTAAGACTTCTTTAATTGTTACTTCAAAAGCAAATTTGCTTGCTTTTTTTCAATCTCTGCCAGGTTGGAATATTTATGTTGAACAAGTTTGAACTGAAAACTGTATGAGAATACTGAGGCTTTTTAATATCAACAGTCCGAGACTCTGCCCCGCGTGAATATATTCATATATTATATGAATGTAAATTGTTTTTATTCTAACAAATTGTATAAACTATAAGTGTTGGTTTGTGTCTCCACAAGGCATACCAAATTTAGACAGCATCTCTTGCTGTTCTTCACGACTAGAGAAGAGGATCTTAGGATTGAGTCCTTTTGTCACAAAGTTTTCCCAGGGCGGCACCTTACTGCTGACTTTGTCTCGAGGTTCCACCTCTACTTCCAGAGTTACCTGGAAGAGATCTGGGTATTTCTCCTGGATGTCACATGCATCAAGATCATACCTGCAATATAATATAGTTTAATTGAAAGCATTTTACATTGGAACTACTTTAAACCTAAATCAAGTCTAATAATTTGTAGGGATTCTTTTAGTTTTATAATCACCAAGTTTCACTGAGCTACAACTAGGTGTAAGGCAAAATATATACTTAACTATTGCTTAGATTAGTCTTGTAAACCAGAAGCGCTTATAGGTTTGAAAATATAAAGTCCATAAATGCCACTGATCCACTAGTAATGCAGGTTGGACCTGCATTTTATTCAGTCATTGAATCATACCATTCCAGCACAAACTCCAAACAATCCCCACCCACCACCCCAAAGTCAATATAAACCTGTGTTTGATCAGTAATGTGTTTTCAGTTTCTGCCTGATTGAAAACTTCATGGCATAAATCAAGAAATATTCAATTGAGAAAAGCCACCACAGATCTAAATTAACTTTTTTTTAAAATATAACCGTGAAATATCCACCCAAAACATTAAACAATCTTTATCTATCAGGTCCTCATCGCCTATTTCCAGCATTAAAATTTAAAAAGACTTACTTTGCAAATTTCACCAAGGTAGCATTTCTGGGCACGAATCCTGTATGGAACTGAATTTGGAACATCTTCATGGAAGTCATCTAGAAAAAAAAGTTTCAATAAATGTTTCCAAATCTCTGCAACAGTGAACTCCATTTTTGTTTTTTTTCACACAGCTTTTTTGTAAAATAAGTTTTTTGGAAAATAATAATCCATTCTTGCATTTGATACAGAGCCAATCCAAAAATGGTTGTGGGTAAGTGAATTTTAAAACTGAATGAGATGGTATTTTAACCACAAAATCTGAGGACATTTCAAAATACTCCTGCTACAACAAAATAAAATCTGTTTCAATTATTAATTCTCAATTTTCAAAAACTGGTTAAAAACTTCTTTGCCTTGCAGTACTTTTCAAGGCAAAACAAAAACATGTTCGTAAAATCCAGCATATCATTAATTACAGTTGTCAAATAGATATCCACTTTTTGCATCCACCCCCTTCAGCAAGATACGTATGCTTATTTATCCAGTCAATTTAGAAAGTGCAAAACTCGCTATCAAAGTATTTGGAATGAGTGAGTGTAATTTGATATTTTGCCCATACCTTTGCCTGCAGTCTCCCTCCAAGTGTTGATCTGGCATGAAAGATTACAATGAGGACATCACCCTGGACACTTAAACCAAGTGGAATTATTGCCTTACCATCTTCAATCTTAAATTCCCTGAAAAGACAGATTCAGGGCGTACTTTACATAAGCACAAAATAATGAAACACAATGTGAATTCCAATAATCTAGATAAATACAAAAGGAAACTAGATAAATCCCTAGAAAGGAGTAACCTGCAAGGATGTGGGGAAAGGGCAGGTAAATGGGCCTGAAAGAGCTAGCTGAATGGGCTTCTTTGCTGTAAATTTCAACAGTTCTAAAACTTAATTCCCATCTCATCTGCAATAAATTACTGATGTTGAACAGTTTATCTTTTCGCCCATCAATTGTCCCCCTTCCTCATCTCCAAAACCATTTTAGCTATTTTGTACTATAGCGTGGAACAGTTCCATTGGTACCCAACACCCTCCAGTACCTCAACTAAGATGCCATCATTCACATGTGTGCTTTAACTGTAGGGGTTGGCAGACAGGTTGCGTTACAGCCAAGTCTAACGCTGTTCTCTTGAAACATCCAGACTTTGACAGAGAGGGATTTCCAGTTCGGGGCCAAATTATGGGTAATTGTGTGCTGACTGATCAGCAGGAAGCAGCTTGTCTTATTTCACACAGGGTCCCCACAACTCTGAGATTAATAATAATCATTGCATTTGATATTGTACTTAAGCACACTGCAATATCTCAAAGCATTTCACAGAGGTTTCTGAAATGTGTACTGTCTATGCAGGTACAGGCAATGCTAGCAGCTAATTTTGCACACAATGTCCCACAAACAGCCATGAAGCAGATTTAACTGGGGATTGTTGGACATCAGCAGAAATTCCCTTTTCTTTTCAAATTGTGCCATGGGATCTTTAGCCTCCATTTCATTCGAAGGAGGTTACTTCTGACAATGCAGAGGTCCATCCCCCCAACCCACCTCCCACTGAAATGGACTGTATACCTACCCTATAGGTAATTAATTCAATCACTTATTCAATCCTTTGATTGAAGGTACGAACACAGATAACAATCCTTCCATTTGCTACAGCGCCTTTGGCGTCAGGAAGACGTCTCAAAGCGCTTCCCAAAGCACTGATTTACTTGCAGGCGAACAAAGCTAATACAGCAACAGCAACTTGTATTTACTTAGCACAACCTCACCCGGGTAGCATCCACTAATGAGCTCATGGAGAGCAATTACCTCAGTTTATCATATTCTTGAGAGGTGGTCATCACCCGACTGTCGCCCATGTACACTTCACAGAAGGGGCGGCAAGCACTCCGCTGTTTGTTAAATAAGGGAACAGGCGTCATCACAATGGACTTGATGACGATGGGTTTGTTGTGGGGGATAATTGGTTCTTCTGCCATCATGTCACACATGTACTCCACACACCTACAAACAAGAACATATCATAGCAAGATAGTGTATAAAAACTGCTATTGCGCCACACTCTCAGGAACGAACATCACTGATGAGAAATGAATACACATATGTTTGGGATAAAAGGAAACGTAAATACAAGCAGACCGAGAGAAAAACAGACATTTGCTAGAAAGCGATATAATAACAGTCAGGTAGGTTATCATTTTTAGTATGTAATTATGGTCCAACAAGACTAAACTACCCTTTAAGTGTTGATTGTCGTGCTGTGCAAATTCAGACAGGTCACTCTGAGCTCTTCTCTGAATCTGCTGTGACTTTGTGCCTACTTGGTGCAAACAATTAGTGAGCTTAATATAGGTGCTTTGTGGTTTACTTCAATAAAATGCAATTGATCAAGGCAGTGATTGCCTGAAGCCTGGCAAAGACAGTTTAAGCTTTCTTTTTAAAATTGACTTGGAACAAGAAATGGACCAAGACAAATCTCACTGATGGTATCTGAGATGACTCAATCAATCAAATTTAGAATAAACTGCCTCAACCTATGTATCATTTTGTAATAATGCTGACATGCCTTTAAAGCTTGTTCTGCGCTGGTAGCACTCTCTGATTTTTACAAGAAAAGAATTTCACTTACACAGTTCAATTTTTCTTACATGTACAGACCTTTTGTTATTGAACGATTTGAAAATGAACCCACTGTTCTCACCAGATTTTGAAACAAAGAGCTAAGTTCATCACTTGAATGAAAGCTGTTTTTCTGAAGCAAAGGACACTTTCATTTTATAAGAATGTATATTTTACAGGAAAGCTCAAAATCATTGTTCACTTAATACACACCACAAAACAAGATTTTATCACTGCTTCTGAAAATGCTTTGGAAATGGTCACATTGTTAGAAATCATTTATAAATCGACTGTCTGATGCATCCTTATGTGATGTATTGTGAGAGTTGAAGGCTATGCAGTAAATGAAAGCTTTAAATTAGTGGGTAATTTATATCAAACATGGATGTAAATGACTGGCAATTATAAGACAGGTATTCTGCAGAATATCTTTACAAATATACAAACAAATTCATATTTGCCGATATCAAAAAGATCAAAATGCAAAGTATAGGTTTGTCCTATCAATGTATGTGCAGGAACACTAATGTCAATTCTTCTGCAACTTTCAATCCCCACCCACCAAAACTGCTCATTGAACACTTATTGTTAAATCAGGCAACACTGAGGCCTACAGACGCTGATTTGTTTTTTTATAGCTAGCAGCTTCCAATAGCTAGAACTTTCTTGCTACAAACAAGGCTAGAGTTTCTGCTGTTCTCGTTTTCAGCTGTTTCTTCTTTCCCTTCAAAAATACCAACACCAGCACTAGCTGGTCATGAGTGGCTCACTATTAATTGACCACTTGGTGGCCCACTAGCAATGCCCTTGTCTGATCCTTAAATGACTATGGAAACGTGCTGCCTTACTTCATAGGACTATTTGGTTTAACAGTGCATCTGCTTTGCAGCATTCTCTAACCCCCCCCTCTTTCTCTTCAGGATGTAAACGTACCTTTTGTGAGAAGGCCAGATGCCAGGAGGTGATCGCTTCATACTGAACATGTAAACTGCAGCCTCCGCAGTGCTGAAGAGACGGCAAAAGCACAAGAAAGAACAAACCACCACAGCAGATGCTGCCCGCCCATCCTGATTCACAAGATATCAATCGTGGAATCAATGTTTGCAAGAAAATACACATGTAATAATACAGCTTTTTTAAAAAGTTAGATAGTCACTATCACATTCACATAAATGCACAAATTTACTAGGTCATTTATTGGGGGAATAGAACGTGTTTAAAAATATAGAGGCGATCCACAATTTTTCCCATTTTACATTATTTTCTATTAAAATGCATAGATTTGTACATGGTAGTTTGACATTATTCTCAGATTTAATGCACTCATCATTTTCCATTCTCAGTCCAGCTAACAAGTTTGTCATCACAGACAACTTTTCTAATGCCCAACTCACCAGACTCCACTCTTCACAACAACAACAACAACAAATTACATTTGTAAAGCACCTTTCATGTCAGGAGGACGTCCCAAGGCGCTGGACAGTCAGGAATCCACACCCGAGTTGGTAGTTAGGATCAGGAGGGGTGGAGGGCGGGGAGGGTAGGGGTAGAAGGGTGGCCGAAGGCATGGATGAAGAGGAGGGTCTTGAGACGGGTCTTTAAGCGAGGGAGCGAGGCGAAGGGAATGTGGGTTGGAAGTCTAGAGAGTGGGGGCAGAGAGGCTGAAGGCCTGCCCGCCAATGGTGGGGTGGGCAAGGCAGGCGACATGAAGCAGGTCAGAGGCCGCTGAACGGAGGAAGTGGACAGTTGTTAGGGGGTTAGGAGGTCACAGAGGTAGGGAGGAGCCAGACCATGGAGGGCTTTGAAGGTGAGGACCAGGATCTTGAACTGTATCCTCTAAAGCTTGAGAATGTCCAGAACTCAGCAGCCCGCAGCCTCTCACACAAATGTTCCCATCACCCCCATCTCCTCCAACTCAACTGGCTCACTAGCTCCTAGCGATCAGCTTTAAAATCCTTGTCCTTGCCATTAATTGCTTCCATGACATTGCCCCACTCTACCTCAGGGATTTCCTGTAACCCTACACCCGCAGCCACTCTCTCCACTCTTCCAGCTCTGGCCTGCTTCACGCCACCTGCCCACAATGCCCCACCAATGGCTGGCGGACAAGCATTCATCCACTGTTCCCACCTCCTCCCTCCTTCTCAGCTTTCAAAGCCCATCCAAAACCCCATCTCTTTGATTCCAGTAACAGACCTTTGCTCTCCCCCATCCTTACCTGGCTCCACTGGCTTCCCATCACCCAGAGTTCAGGATCCTCGTCCTCATTTTTAAAGCCCTCCACAGTTTGCGCCACTCTAACTTTGTGACCTTCTAAAACCTATCAACTCACTCACTCCCTCCGCTCAGCAGACATTGTCCTGCTTCACAACCCATGCCCTGCCCACCCCACCATCGGCATTTAGCCTTTCTGCCCTCCACTCTCTGAAACTCCACCAGAGTCCCTTCGCTTGCCCCTTCCCTCACCTCCTTCAAAGTCTGTGTCTTAAGACCTTCCTCTTCGGCCCCATCTTCGATCATCTTCCCAGCCCCACCCGCCTTGGCCCCCTCCCCTCCCGAATCTAATCTCCAGCTTTGGTGCAAACTCTACAGTCCAGCTCCTTGGGACATTCGCCTGACATGAATGGCGCTATATAAATGTAAGTTGTTGTTGTATCAGTAGGAGCCAAAGCACTTGGCCATGGTTGTGAGCGGAGAGAACAGCCAGAACTGGATTGTGGAAGGGCAGTTGAATAAGACGGACATTAGGGAAGACTGGATTAGTTTGGAGTACAGCATTATTGCACAGCACTGCATTTACATTCTGAACAGGGTTTTGCAATGAACAACTAGGTCGGGATTCAGAACCGGGTTCAAAATAGAAGCCAAACACGCAACTGCTAAAGGTGCCAAATTACTGGATTATTTCTTCAAAATTATATTCACCCACCCGGGAAAGGGAAACCACATTTATCTCAGATCGAGATTTGAATCCTTCTTAAAGAATAGCAGTTGATATCAATTATATTTTAAAGCAGATTCAAAGGCTCTAAAATAAGGCGTATTAATGAACACAGATAATTTGAATTCCTACTAGTTACTTTGAGAATTGCTTTGAGACAAGTTATGGTACTGATTATCGTTGGCTCCAACCGCAACAAGTCAATTTTGCCTTTTGACTCATTATAGAGACATACTTACAAGACAGTGGACAACACAGATATTCTTCTGATCTTGCTTTAACCATAAGTGCATATTCTTGCAAATATTGAACAGATTTCGTAGACTTGGAGCACGTCTCGCAGGCCAGCCACATTCAGAAACCTAGGATACAATGCAATACAAAATGACATTTGTATAGCGTATAGGATTGACAAAAGTGAGGCAAAAAATGTGAAGCACAATCTTAAAAATCAAGATCTAATTTTCTTCAACAACCTCTACATTTAGCAATGGGTCAGAGTCACTGATCAGCCCAATTTCAATAAGCAGTTCAAGTATTCAGAGTTAAAAAGTAATGTGATTAATACCTAAACAATAGCTTTTTGGGGGGGGAATTAAAAAACACCTGTTCAGAAATTACTATGCGTTTTCGATCCAATAAAAGAAAATGATCATATCTTTGAACTAAGAAAAAGTCAACAAAATGACATGATTTCCCTCTTTTAAAAAACATTTGACAGCATTTTCTAAGCAACAATCAAAACAAAGCTACGTAGTAATTTTGCCAAACCAAGAAATATCTGAAGCTGCAATTACAGAATTTAGTCATTCTACACATCAGAAAATTCCTGGCTTTTTACTGGTAATTTCACGTTTCACTTCTTCCAAAGCCACCAATTACTTCTTATTTTACACAACTTCCTAAGTCTAAAATCAAACGGATTTAAAAGTTAATTGAGTGTGTGCTCCTTCTGATGTGTCCATGGATAAATGCTGCGGTTTAGTGTTACTCTTGGCCACACAAAACAATAAAACAATAAGCAATGGATTCAACTGCTGCTCTGTTAATCTCAACCAAGCACTAAACTGCAACAGTCACAACATTGACTTCATGTCACTGTAGAATCCTAGTAACCAACATCAAACGTTGCTGGAAAAGGTATTTGTAGGCCAACACTTCTCATGTTCTTAGACCTTTAAGTCCTTTAAATTTAAGCTCATGTAGAATTGTTGAATATTCTTAAATTGTCTGCCTGAAACATCAAGTCTAAATTTTAAGTATTTTTCAAAATTCTGCACAGGAAATGGTCTTAATAAGTCCAATGCACAGTCGTTCCACTTCACAGTGTATCCTGTGAAGTGCTCTGAGATGTCCTCCTAACAAGAAAGGCGCTATACCAAATGCAAAGATTCTGTATGCGGCCATGATGAATTTGGGGAAACTGGAGTTTTCAGAGAACGAGAAATTTCTGGTAAACCAAATCACCAACATATTGATTAAGATCACATCCACACTTTTGGAAAGGGTTGGAGATGGACACCATGAGAGACCTGAAAATTAGTGCAGGAGGGGGAATGTACCTTATAAAAAGATAATAGTAGAAAGATTATCTTGTGTTTTACATAGATACAGCAAGGGATCCTAATAATAAAAACAATAATACTAAACCTTGCATTTGATATAGCGCCTTACCACGTCCTTGAGATGTCTATAAAACATCAATCCTAGACATATATAAAAAAAAATTCCCTATAACAAAGATTCCTCTTGCTTGAAGTCGGGTGGAGCCGGTACATCAAATTAACAGGTTTAGCCACTTTGATCCAATGTGAGACACAATCAGTCTGTAGTTGTTTGACCCCAGGAAAGTAAATTACTGGCGTACATTCAGAAATGTTCAGTGACAACAGTATCAATACTGATTTGGGTCACGTTTGCAGATTCGGTGGAACCTGATGAATGGTTTCAAAGGAGACGGCAGATTGGATAGGTGCAACCGGTAAAGTTTAATCAACCAAACGTTAAAGTTTCACTGAGGTTTAGCGAGCGGAAACGTGACTTGTTTTGAGATTTTAATTGCTGATCTGTACGGCTGCTTCACCAATTCTACAACAGTAATATTTTCGACACAGTTCTAATTTTCTTCCCTCTACATCTGCTTAAATGCATTAACTTATGGTCAGCTACAATAGAAGCCGAACACACAACTGCTAAAGGTGCCAAATTACTGGATTATTTCTTCAAAATTATATTCACCTGCCAGGGAAAGGGAAACCACATTTATCTCGGATCGAGATTTGAATCCTTTCTTGGGTATTTTTCAAAATTTTGCACAGGAAAATGGTCTTAATAAGTTAAGTCTAATACACAGTCATTCCACTTCTCAGTGTATCCTGTGAAGAGCTCTGAGATGTCCTCCCAACATGAAAGGCGCTTTACCAAATGCAAAGATTATTCATACGGCCATGACGCATTCCCTCTACCTCTCCTTAAATCCATTAACTGTATCTTGTAGTTAGATACAGTTCCTCGGGTGCTAGCCATCTCCAAGGATCTCACTCAAGTAGCAATCTACATGTGTGCTCCTGCGCCGTGAGTGCTGACAGGCTATTGGAATGTGCGTAGCTTCAGAACCAAGTCACATCCTGTTTTCCATCAACACCTTAAAGTAAAATTAATATTCTTATTAAAAGTACATTCCAGCAGTTGGTATTGAATAGGAGCTGGAACCTTCCTTTTACCACCTCTCCCACAGGCAGAGAGGTCTAAGTAGGACCACTTGAAACTGTTGTTTATTTTTATTAAAAAAAGTGCAGTTCTGTTTTAATTAACATCTAAGATTTCTGTAATAATAACCTTTGGCATTTTTTTTCCACTTACCCGGTTATGGAACCTGGAGGACCTGTAGGTTCGCTGTGAGAGATTATAAACTGCATAATGACCTGGATGGTGTGAGTCTAAGAACAACCTAACATCCTCAATGTTGTTTTTGATTGCGGACTCAACACCTTCGGCTGGAAATGACATAACTGGAAAAGAAGAACAACAAAATGATATGCACGGGACGCAGAATTTCCTGGTGACATCCTTTCGATAATCATATACTGTGTGCAGAGACAGCCACTGCACTTGTGCTAATGCTGCTGCTAGTGGAAAAATGGACCAAAAAATATATTTAAGCACTGCAACAACTTGCATTTATGTAGCGCCCTTCACATGGGATAGAGTCTGAGCGACTACGTTTGTAAGAACCGCCAGCAAAATCAATTTGCCATGAAAACAACAGTGCCAGGAGTAAGCCAAACTGAATAATGCCAATACTTGCACTTATGGTGCTGGACATAGGTTGGGAGGGTGGGTATGTTGATAAGCAGCACATTTTCAATTTAAAAATCTTCCTGTTTCCTGAGTCAGTGTGGAATAGTCAGATATAATCCAATAGTAGGAAGCAATTTCAATAATAATACTATTAATATGTATAATATAATCCTTGCATTTGATATAGCGCCTCATCATGTCTTTGAGATGTCTCAAAGCGCTTCACAGAATATACTGCAAAGTGAATTGACTGTATATTTTGTGGGCAAATCGCGGCAGCGAATTGTGCACAGCAGTGTCCCACAAAGAGTTGTGGATTGAGTGACCAAAGTTTTTTTAAGGAATTATTAGCCCCGGAAAAGCGATCCGCAAATCGATTAACAACTGGGTTCCTAATTACTGCTAGGTAAGCAGAGGTGCGTGGAATAACGAAACTTGCCCAATGTTTCGCCCTGTCAGTAATCAAACCCAGGTCTCTCGCTTGCAGAGTGCTCTAACCACTAAGCTACCAGATTCCACAGATAGATTCAAGGCTGTGATCTATCTAAATTCCTTCGATTAGATTACGGTCTTGAAATCAACTTCCTGGCAGCTGCTGTTCTCTACGGAACAGATTTAAGAATCTGTAATTGAACGAATGTTCATGCAATTCATTTTCAGTGATTCCTAAAGCTAATTCATAACCTTTAGTGAATACTAAATAAGGCTTATTATAACATTTTTTAAAAAACTGTGCTCATACTCACTGGTTATTAGACACAGTTGATAGCTTTTAAAACCATCGGTCATTAACTTATCCTTCATATCGATAGGGTCACAAAAACTACATCATCAGATTCCATTAATCATAGAAGACTTAATGGTACAAACTCAAATGGCGATTTATTTCATTCAGTAGTAAGTACAGTAAAAGCACAAACAAAACAAAATCATGAACTGAAAAAGTCAAGACAGCCCTCATAGATTACCTAACATCACCTATTTATAGATGCATTCAAGAGGAGTGCTCGAACCTTCACATGAGGAAAAAGAGCATAGAAGGGTTCAGGGAGGGAGTCAAGAATGGGTGGAGACTCTTGTGGAGTATAAACACCGTCACGGACTGACTGGTTGAGTCCAGTGGCTTGTTTCTATGTTGTACAGTTTGTGCAGATCTTGTACACGCAAATAAATATATTCACCATTCTGGGGTACAGGTTTCAGGGGTTTAATAAACTAGCTGGCACAGAGGTTTCCATTGTAGCTACAATATTACACTTGTATAGTGTTTTTCACGTCGGGAGGATGTCACAAGGCGCTGGACAGTCAGGGATCTGGAACCCGAGTAGGAGGTAGAAGGGCAACCAAGGGTGCGGTGGAAGAGGAGGGTCTTGAGACGTGCCTTGAAGGAGGGAAGGGAGGGAGCAAGGTGAAGGGAATGTGGGATGGGCGGTGGGGGGGATGCAGAGAGGCTGAAGACACAATCACCAATGGGGGGGAAGTGGAGCAGGGAGGCTGGCAGTGCGGATGAGAGGTTTGCCCCTAGGGTCTGGGGCCGGTGGGCCTTGCGACAATAATGGGGATGGGGCGGTCAGTGTGGCTGCTGCTGAGGTGCCAGCGGTGAGCGCCTCAGTGAGCCTGATGGTGGATTCCCAAGCTGGAGCAGAGGGAGGCTGTGAGACGGTCAAGTGGGGATAGCAGGCGAGGAGGTGGAGGGAGAAGAGATCAGAGCGGGAGTGACAGGATAGAGGACAGGGGTGGGGGTATTTTGGGAGGAAGCAGCTCGGGTCGGGAGTGGCAGCAAAAATGCGCACACCGAGACTGGAGGCAAAGTGATCAATGAGGCATAGTCAGCCCGCAGGCATGGAGACAGCGGGGGCTAGAGGAGAGCGCGGGGGCTAGAGGAGAGCGCGGGGGCTAGAGGAGAGAGCGGGGGCTAGAGGAGAGAGCGGGGGCTAGAGGAGAGAGCGGGGGCTAGAGGAGAGAGCGGGGGCTAGAGGAGAGAGCGGGGGCTAGAGGAGACAGCGGGGGCTAGAGGAGAGCGCGGGGGCTAGAGGAGACAGCGGGGGCTAGAGGAGAGAGCGGGGGCTAGAGGAGAGCGCGGGGGCTAGAGGAGAGCGCGGGGGCTAGAGGAGAGCGCGGGGGCTGGAGTAGTGCAGAGGGGAGAGGGGGGGCAAGGCACTCATTGTGTTATTTACCAGGATCCCCAACCTCAAAGATAACTCGGAGAAGTTTACAGGGAGAAGAGGGAGGAAGGGAAGGCGATAATAAAAATCAAAATAAGACTATACTAAACCTGAATCCAGGGTTTGAAAAACTGGCGTGCGGAAAAATGAGCAATAAGCAGAACTTATTACCACTATAAATAGCTTGCTGCTGTCAAAAACATCTACTGACATATCTACCAGTTAAACAGTCTCGTTCTAATATAAATAGTTTCAAGAATAGTAAATAGTAATACAAAAAAGACATTCAAAACGTCTGACTTACCAGCAATTCTTGAAGTAACGTATGAAATATCCAAATCCCCTTTAGCGTAGCTGGCCAGAAACATATTTGTAAAGGTTAGTGCAAGTTACTCTTATTCAAAAAGAATCTTCAACAGTGGGAGATAGTTTGACCCACAAGCAAAGAACACTTTACCATTGCTAATAAGGTAATGACAAATAGGCTCTGAAAGTCATGAACTGTGGGAAACTCAGTGCTGCATTCCTTCCATTTACAAACACAAAATCTGTTTAAATCGGTCACTTTTAGTTGTCTGGAAAGTTGCACTCTTCAATCAACCTTGTCCATCTTAAATACCAGTATGTTGAGTGCAAATGTATCCTCTGGGTTCAGAGACCAAATCTGAACATTCTCAAAAGGCAGTGATTTAACAGCAACCATTTACATTTATATAGCACATTTCACATTGGGAGGGCATCTGAAATTGCTTCACACAGCTGACTGGGGAGCTTGAGCTGGAGAAGGGGGGAGAAGCAGGAGGTTCAGAAAGGCGGTCAAAATTGTGGTAGAAAAAATAGCTCTTACGGTGCTATATCTAGGGGCTATATCAAATGCAAGGATGATTATTATTTCAGTTTAACGGATACTTTTAGATTAAAGTTAAAATTGAGAATAGTTTCAAATTGGCTGCTAAGTTCGCTTACAAACTGCAGCATCATTGAAAGGTTTTGAGATATTTTGATAATGTCATAAGGTTCGCTATCAAATCATGGATTATTATTATATTGTTACTCATGTCAATGCGATTTAAATAAGTAATGGCAGCACTAAATTATAAAGGGCAGGACTGATTAGAAGGTCTCACTTTTTTTTAAGAATAGGAGCAAGAGGATCACCTTTTAGGTCACAGAAAGCAAATAATCCTTGCATTTTTTGATATAGCGCCTTATCACGTCTTCGAGACTTCTCAAAGCCTTCACAGAAATATACTGTAAAGTGAATCGACTTTATATTTTGTGGGCGAAACGCGGCAGCCAATTGCGCACAGCAGCGTCCCACAAACAGTCGTGGATTGAAGTGACCGCGTTTTTAAAAAAAAATGTTTTAACCTTGTCATCACGCAACTACCATTTTATCATCTTATAAATACCAGCGTATAGAGTACACATTTATCCCCCGGGATCAGAGACCAAATCTGAACATGCTTTCTAATAAAGATAGTCAGATCAACAAGATAACCTATACTACTTTCACCTTCCTCCCCTCAGTAGACAATATGAGGAGGCATCGGTAGGGCACGATTTGCTGGACACATCCTCATGCACCACATATCAGCCTGTTCTGCTGGTGCACAGTTTAACACAAAATAAATAATTTAAAATATCATTGCATTTGATATAGCGTTTTCATGTCAGAAGGACATCTCGAAGCGTTTCATAGAATTCATTGTAAAGTACAATTTTAGGCAAAAAGTGAGAAATCTAAATGTAGTAATGTAAAAGACAATTAGCAATGAAAGAGCATATGGGAAACTACACTGTGCGTATTGCAGTCATATCTAAAAGTTTACAACTGTGCAGCATGAAATCTATATCAGTCCCCCTCCCTCCCCACCCTCAAATCCCGCCGAAAGAACTTCCTTTTTGATGGTACTTATAGTCACCTCCCGTCTCCCTCTCCCTCAGCTCGTTGTCAAGACACCGCCCCTGTGAAGCACTCCAAGATGCTGCCCCATGTGAAGGGCACTGAATAAATGCAAGTTGTGGATGTTGAAGTTGTTGTTATGTCATGCTTTTGATATTAAGAGGATTGTGTTTAACATGCCAGCAACTCACAAACCACACACACATAACGTGTTAGATTTAAATCCATGTTTTTACATCAGATGTATATTGCTTAGATAAATTTCAACTGAAAACTAATTACAAATTCTGCAATATTAAAGGGAAAACGTTAACATTGCCGTCACATTTGCAAGGAGATACGTTAAAAAAAAGTTTTGGTAATAGCCTGACTTCCTTTCATAACGTCGGTCAATTAGTCTATATGAAGAACACCCGTCTTAACTAATCCTCTCAATATGCTGTCTATATTTAAAATGTTAAAATTAAAACAAAAGTTATACAGTATTATAAATAATATAAGCCCTTGAGAAGAAACATATTGAACACCTCTATCCTGAGATTTGTGCTTGCAGCAAAAGGTAATGAACACACAAAGATGGCTTTAATTCAATTAATAAAGAAGCAAAAACATCCACGTCACCAGCACACAAAACCAACAAAATATTTACCTGGGGTTGCTACCAGACGCACAAAGATGTTGAGAAAGAAAGAAAGCAAGCAGTGAATGACAGGCTGAACAGTCAACATGGACACAGACAGGCAGCAATATTCACAACTCAGAACAGAAAATGTTAGGCTCATGATACGAATGATTGTCAAAAAAGTAACTCGCTCCCAGATGACAGACGGCAAATTACAAGAGAAATGCAAAATTCAAAACATTTAATAGGATAATGAGAATGACCATGGGTGCTCACTACAAAGTTAACATGAAAGAAAATATCTTATATATAAATAAGATAACTTATCCAATCTAATTCCCCCGTAGATTTAAATAACTCAAGTCTCTTTAAGGCCAAGAGAAATAGAGCAGTGATCATTTTTTTTTTTAAAAAGTACATCCTTAAAATACTAATACTTTCGAATGATACTCCAGAGAGGGTGGATGATGCCATAATGCAGCCCACTCAAATTCATTGACAGAATATCCTAAACGAATGGCGGCTTAGCTTTTTCTGCTGGGCAGACATTTCTCTCCTACTGGCTAGTGTTACAAGGCAGAATTTTAAGACAAAGTAGTTCTGTAAGCAAGATTACATTAATGGGTGCAGTCAATGCGGGGGAGGAAAGAGGAAAGAGATTGCATGGAGTGGAGTTGTACCACAGGTTCACTATTTGCTAACTTTTCAATTTCTTGGTTGCATCCACAGAAATCTTTAAGCATTATACAATACAAAATTACATTTGTACAGAGCCTTTCAAGCCAGGAGGTTGTCCCAAGGCGCTGGACAGTCAAGGATTTGGACCAGAGCTGGGGGTCGGGATTGGGGAGGGTGGAGGGTAGGGAGGCTATGAGGGTGGCCGAAGGCACGATCGAAGAGGATGGTCTTGATACGTGCCTTGAAGGAGGCAAGGGAGGGAGCGAGGTGAAGGGAATGAGGGATGGAGTTCCAAAGGGTGGAAGTAGAGAGGCTGAAGGCCCGACCGCCGATGGTGGGGCAGGACAGGTGGGGGGGCGTGAAGCAGGCCGGAGCCTGCTGAGCCGAGGAAGCGGACAGGTTGATAAGGACGTAAACTTCTCTACTCAGATCTTGTATCTGGAGAAAAAATAGCTGGAAGCTGTGCAGCTTTCCATCACTAACTTGCGTTCTTTTTTCACTCGGATCATTTACTGAAGCCCTGGATTTGGAGGCACTGTAGCAATGCAATCAGCAAAACTGCTGCTGCCTCCTCAGCGTCAAAGATTAACTTATAAAGAGGTGGGTGATTCCAGCATTTCCAGAAGCAGTAAGTCCTGTCCCCCAAAGTCAATGGAAATATTAGCATCAGAGATGGTGACAACCTTGTTTTCTGACAAGCTGAGTCGAAAATCCCATGTGTATGCCCACTGTGGTCCTGCTCACCAGGCTATTTGTACCATTTTCGTTAGGGAATGTAGAACGCAGAAAAGTAAAGAAATGGAACTTAAAAACTGTGTACCGTTCTGCTTCTGTGGAAAATTTCCCATTCTAAATAGCAAAGCTATGTAAACGCAGCACCACTAACCAAGGAAACAAGTCATACTTTCTAGTAATAAAGGAGGGTAGAGTGAACTAAATCAATCTTTCTATGCTTACACACTTTGCTGTTTAAACATTTTCCACAGGGAGGTGTAAACTGAACAGTAAACTGGAAGGTATTCCTCTCAAGACAATGAGCACCTCATGTGTCTGTTCAATAGTTATTTTGTGAACAAAAACTCGAATATTTGCTCAGCTCCACTTACTTGGCAACAGACTGAATCATTTTCGAAGACGTATCTTTGATGTTAGTTAGGAATCGCTCTGTGCCACCTTTAAGGATATCGAAGAACCCGCCAGGGGGCGATACATCATTTTCATTAGCTAAGGAAAAAAATAATGCAAACTTCAGCTGACTTTTGTACATTTCCAGTCACATGAGAATCACATGTTCACTGTTTCTACAGCACAGTCAACAGTAAAATCACAACTGGCTGTGCAAGTAGGAAGTACGTAGCTTACCCTCTGCGGAATGATTAAGTTAGTAAAATGACTAAATTATTCTTTGCAATTGAACAGTGCTCCACTTTATATGTGCGCTCTCTTTTTCTGGGGCAAATGTGTTTAACTAAATGTTGTATAAAATTAAATCAGAGGTATTTAGATTAACCAAATTTAATTAAATATTACTAGAGATTCCCGTTAAAACTATTTAACACAAAAGACTTAAAGCAATATATGGGACATCTAAACAGGGACAGAAGCAAGAGTGGCGCTGAACTCCAGGAGTAATCAAAGATTGCCTTGGGATTCCAGGCAGAGGAAAAACTTTGGAACAGTTTTTCAGTTTATTTCTTTATAATAATAATAATCCTTGCATTTGATGAAGCGCATTATCACATCTTCAAGATATGTCAAAGCACTTCACGGAATATACTGTAAAGTGTATGATCTATGGGTGAAACGTGGCAGCCAATTGCGCACAGCAGTGTCCTACAAACAGTAGTGGATTAAAGTGACAATTCTTTTTTGAAGACCCCCAGAAATGCATTCCGCCAATCGACTAACAACCGGGTTCCTACTTACTGCTAGATAAACAGAGGCGTTTGGAGTAAGGAAACTTGCCCAACATTTTGCTCTGCCAGGAATCAAACCCAGGTCTCTCACTTGCAAGGCGAGTGCTCTAACTACTGAGCTACAGGACTTTATTTCTTTATGGGTGGATTTAGGAGTATCCTATTCCGATACACCTTGGGACCAAAAAGGACATCAAACAGACACAAAGATTTGCACAATTTGCATTTTTTTACAGAAATCAATACATCTTCTTAGTACAGTTTGAAATGTGTCAATTCACTAGGTTAAATAATCAACGTCAAAAAATTCTAGCAGACGGGTGCCCTCCATGGCAAGTTTGAAGTAATTAAACCAACCTTTTCAGTTTTACAAACTTTAAAAAACAATTCTGTAAAATGTGGGCAAGGATCACGAAACAAGTGGTTTCCACATTCTGCTGATTTAAACCATGAAGAACTCTTAAAATATAAAACTAAACACCAGTCTTCTAAACTATGGCAATTTAGTGATAGTTTCGCGGGCGGCAACCAAAATCTCATCAATAATAGTTGGTCCATCTCAAAACAGTTGTATCATTCCTAAAATACTGAGTCAATAATAATAATCATTGCATTTGACATAGTGCCTTATCACGCCTTCTAGACGCCTCAAAGTGCTTCACAGAATATACTGTAAAGTGAATTGACTATGTGGGCAATTTGTAAAGTGCAATGTAGATATTGCATCAAAATAACTACAGCATAAACTCCCAAAACCCAAAGGTATACCGTCTATGCACCAGTAACTTGAACATTAACATTCTTTTTCCCAATAATCCACAGAATTTGTTCTGATCAGCATTTAGATCAAGGACGGTTTTGTGATGAAAACTGGACTGAAACTGACCAAATCTCTTCACACATTAAATGCAGTCGCCAGAGACAGTCTATTACTTTAGTCATCAAATAAAAGAAAAACAATTCTGTAGTTCCAGCAGATCAGAGTTCAAACCCCATTTTTGATTATTAATCTTCTCTTTATAGGTAAAATATAGCCTTCTCTCAGTTGTGGAGAGATCACTTTCTTTATAAGAGAGTCAGAAAAAGTAAATCTCATGCAATTTTCTCCTCATCTCCTGAAAGTATTTCGCTCTTTCATTCTACTGGGACACAGTTCTGTAAGCACCAGTGACTCTTCAGTACCTCATCCAACAGACCATTATTCTAGTGTGAGAAAAGGTAGCAAGTACAAAACAGCTACGTGATAATAGGATGCCTCGAAGAAAAGTATTATTCTCCTGAAAAAACATACACACACACACATATATATACTCTACCAGGAATCGTCTGGCACTGTTACTGCAGATTCAGGTGGAAATCAAAACCAGAGCACGTGTTGTTTTACATTTGCGAATTAATTAGCACCGTAAAACATCACAATAAATGAAATAATCAAAATTGTGGCAACATCGAGCACACAACGATCTCTCCCTGGTGACCAGTTCCTGACGGACTCTTCCCAACATGCGTTTGTAGAATTAAGATTCGGTTCCTCAATCTAAATCAACCAGACGGACGGGAAACACAACTAATCCTCTTAAGTGGCAAGGTAACTTCGGTTTGCCTTTAGCTAGCTTTCACTTAAAGAGCTTTGAACGTATGAGTTCAACTTTTCACGCATCGGTTATCTTTATGCCTTTTCGATCAGTGAAAACAATTCCGGAGTTCACTTCTCCTCATCTAAAAAAAAGAAAATGTTACATGCCTGCATTATGCATGTTGTTCGGTGGTCCTCCTGGCTTGCTCCAAGGTGGCGGTGAACTTGCCGTTGTCCGGGCTGGGACACTGTTGCCGAGCCCTCCATTGTGCTCCAGGAGCTGCAAAGATTCGTAACTGTCACAATCAATCTTTCTCAGATAAGAGCCCGGCAGACTCATGAGAAAACTATTCAGGCACTCATACAATGAAGAATGCGGAGATTCCGAGCCACCAGTTGCACATTATTCTGCATCGTGGCAGAGCAGCTATGAGCTTTTCTTCAGAACAAACAGGCCATTGGTGGGTTAGTGCCATTTCAATGATCAGCTGTAGCACTTGCGAGCAGGCCTAGCGCTGTCCAACTGGCTTCAGGCCCAGCCTTCATCAGTACACGTAGCTGACTGCACCGGGCCTGGCCTGTTTGACGGTTAAGCTCATTAAGATAGCAGATGAGCAGATTAAACGATTATCCAGCTCTTTCTCTTCTTAAATGTGCAAATGGTCGCCCTTATTCGTTCTTTTTTGTTTTTAGGATCTGCTCAACTTTTCAACAACATTTAGCTCTTTTAGGAGAATTTAGAAAAGCTCTAACATACTAAATGACAACAGGAATATGAAAACGTGGGAGCCCAGACAATAATCGTGCGAGAAAAATAAATACAGCATGAGCTCCCCTGACCCTTTAAGAAGATGGTCTTCACAAGATCTAATGCTTCTAATCCTGCAATAAGCCACATTAAATTCAGAGACAACAAAGTTAAAAAACTCTATAACAACAATTTGCACTTATATAGCACCTGTCACAAAGTATTCCATCTAAAGCACTATGCAAAGACAGTTTGGATAACTAGGGAGGGGGCGGTAACTGACCCAAAGCACATTCAAGGTCAGGTGAGGATGGCTATAAATGGGTATACAGTGTGCATTATCCAACATAAAGCCTCAATCAGGTATTCAGGCCTTCCCCCACAAAATACAGTCTGCACTTCATGTACTCCATGTATTACATCCTGTAGCTCAGTGGTTAGAGCACGCGTCTCGCAAGCGAGAGACCTGGGTTTGATTCCCGGCAGGGCAAAATGTTGGGCAAGTTTCCTTACTCCTCACGCCTCTGTTTACTGAGGGATAATTAGGAACCCAGTTGTTAGTTGATTGATGGATTGCTTTTCCAGAGATAATAATTCCTTAAAAAACAATAAATTGTTCACTCAATCCATGACTGTTTGTGCAATACTGCTGTACACAATTGGCTGCCCCATTTTGCCCACAAAATATACAGTCAATTCACTTTACAGTAAATTTTGTGAAGCGCTTTGAGACATCTAGAAGACATGATAAGGCGCTGTACCAAATGCAAGGATTATTATTATTACATCACGGGAAGCGTTTTGTGCTATCCTCTTAACTTGGAAGGTGCTACATCAAATGCAAGGATCATCATTATTGCATCTCAATACCTTTGAAGACATTGGCAGAGAATGAGTTGATGCAACAAGTCAAAAAACATTGTAGTGCGAGTCTCTTGAAGAGTCTTCCAACTAGGATGCCAACGCTGACTGCCACCACAACCCAGGTGCGACACTGAGTCTGAATCAGGCACTCTGCTCAGAGAATTCAGCAATCAAGTTACATTATTGAGACACATTGCCCACACGCTGCCTGAAATCAAGCACATCCGAACGTTCAGCAGATCTTGCACCGACCGCTTTTAGTTGGGATTTCCCCAGTGCAGCATGTTGAATTTTCAGAACTGATTCTTTGAAAGAGTCTGGAGACGGTTCAACTCCTTAGAAAGTTTGGAGACAAGTCTGACGTAAATTGTAGACATTGAATCCAGCCTACTGCATGTCCCTCGTGCCCTCTGTTCCATTGGTGGGCGCGCTTTCAGCCACTATGCCCAGAAACTCTGGAACACTCATCCTCTATCCCTCCACTTTGCCCCTTCCTTCAACTTCAGGTCACGCCTGAAGACTTTCCTATTCGGCAACGCCTATGGACACCTTCCCCCTCTCCCCGGCTCGGAGTCGTGCTCCGTCACTGTCGAGCGCTCTGGGACGCTACCCTGCATGAGGGGCACTATATAAATGCAGGTTGTTGTGGTTACTGGAAAGGGTTATTGTCTGGACACCAATGCCTTGAAGCTAGCCAACTGGTACCAACAACCTGAGAAGAAACAGACCGCCTGAAAAATATGACAAACTAAAAGAACTTCAATGTTTCCCTCACAGAGACCTTGCATGTTCAGTCAGCTCAGTCACTACGGGAACATCAGTTATAATAATACAATATTATAATACAAGCTTCATGTACAGCTCTATTCAATCCAAAGCTGCCCAAGCACAGAGAGCCCTCTACTGGTTTCATATCATATGCAGCCTTATCCAGCCAATAATGAGTTTCTGTGTAGCTCAGAAAGTTTCAGAGTACTTCCGCTCACCACCAAATCCAAAGTGCTGACTTCAAATGAAATGAATGGAGCTGCTTTCTACACAGACACGCATTCCTGCTCCATTGGAGGAGCTTAGTATTGAAATAAACCAAAATATAATAATAAATAATCCTTGCACTTGATAAAGCGCTTTTCAAGTCTTGTAGACGTCTCAAAGCGCTTCACAGAATATACTGTAAAGTGAATTGACTGTATATTTGTGGGCGAAACGCGGCAGCCAATTGCGCACAGCAACGTCCCACAAACAATCGAGGATTAAATGATCAAATTTTTTTTTTTTTTGAGTGATTATTATCCCCAGAAAAGCGATCCGCCAATCGACTAACAACCGGGAGCCTACTTAATGCTAGGTAAACAGAAGAGTGCAGAGTAAGGAAACCTGTCCAACATTTCTCCCTGCTGGGAATACAACCCAGCTCTCTCGCTTGCGAGGCGAGTGCTCTAACCACTGAGCTACAGGATCCCAAGGACATACAGTGTGAAGGTATTTCAATATACGGTAATTATTCTGGATCCAGTTGTAGATGGGCGACAGTCAGTGTTGTTAAAAGGATTTTCTAAGTGCATTAAGCATGTGAAATTTTCTCATAATAGGATTGTGATGTTTCTATACTGTATGTAATTGAACGTTGAAAAACGCACTGCATTTTGTCCTACAATTATCTGGAGGAAACATTTTCGGCTACTTATGAGGTGATGTGATGAAACTCCTGACCTTGTTGTGGTAGCGGCGGTGATGAATAAAGATCTGCTATGCACAATTGGCTGCCGCGGTTTGCCCAGAAATATACAGTCAATTCATTTTACAGCATATTCTGTGAAGCGCTTTGAGACGTCTCGAAGAAATGATAAGGCGCTATATCAAATGCAAGGATTATTATTATTCGAGATTCAGAATAAGGGCCCTCGGCATATTTGATCTAATCATTCCAAAATACCAAACCTACCTTCTTCCCATTACATTATCAAGATGTTTCTTACATTAGTCTAGAATCTTGAGCTGAACAACCCTTCTTGGTAGGTAATTGTACAAGCAGTTGAATACCATCTGTGCAAATAAATATCTGCTAATTTTCCCTCTTTCTCACAGAGATCCATTTTTTTCCCTTTCTCCTAGCAGTTCCATAGGCTCCATTCACCAGTCAGTACCTCACCCAAGTAACTATTATTCAAGTGCAAGTTTTGATAGTAAATGTTGGACCAATCTAATTAGGGCGCAAAACAGCATAACTGTACTGAAAAAGCATTTCTGGAACCTGCATTTTATCATGAGAATAAAATTTAAAAAATCCTTAAGTTTGATTTCCTTCACTTTGTTTCATTTCTTTCCACCTTCACATTGGGAGGACATCTCAGTGCTTCATTGGATATGCCTTAAAGTATTGTGTTTGTGTAAATTATGTAGGCCGATAACTTATACTTCATGGGCACTTTAGCCAACAAAAACAGCATAAATCTTATAAGTGAATAAACTGTCTCCTGTGCATCGCATATGCAGCATATTCATGAGTATATACATGAATATACTCATGTAGCATTTGAGCAGGTTTCAGAGATAGGGTGAGGCAAGACCATGGAGGGATTACAAAGTGAAGACGAGGCTCTTGAATGCGAGCTTTGAGGGCATGGGGTGCCTGTGGAGCCAGACAAGTTTGAGGTGATAAGCTCGCAGAGCCTGGTGTGGGAGAGGACATGAGCTGCAAAGTTCTGCACAGCCTCCAGGACTGATAGGCAATTGGTCAGAAAAACATTGGTCCTGGAATCAAGGGTGGAGACAAAAAGGGACTTGGGTGCCATCTGCATACATGTGGGGGTTAGGGAAGATTCTCCCAAAAGAAGGACTCACGACTATGATTGAAATCTTTAACAATGCACAAATTGCCTACAACTGCTGTGATTGCCTACAAATACAGTTGCCGCACTTCACAGTAAAATCCTGTGAAGTGCTTTTGAACGTGTTGAAGACACAATAAAGTGCTATATCAAATGCAACATGATGATTATTATAATAAATTAAATAATACAACATCCAGCTACTACAGCACAAGCGATAACTGTGGATTCCTCAACCTATATGGTACCAGAAGCACAATTTGGTGACCTTGAACAAAGGGCTGGTGGAATGCTTATTTGACACAACAACTGGCATTTACATAGTGCCCTTCATGCCAGACGGCGTTTCAAAGCGCTTAAGAGTGGTGGAGCCCGATGCCGAGCCAGGGGGACGGGGAAGGTGACTGTAGGCACGGTCAAAGAAAAAAGGTCTTCAAACCTCGACCTGAAAATGGGGAGAGGTGGGGCCGGGTAAAGGGATTGGGGGAGAGAGTTCCACAGCTTCGGGGTGTAGTGGCTGAAAGCACAGCTGCCGATGGTGGGGAGAAAGGTCCGGGGGACAAGGAGGAGACTAGAGCGTAGGCAGCGGGTAGTGGTGTAGAGAGAGAGCAGGTTGGTGAGATGTTGGGGGGGGAGGGGGGCATGAAGAGATTGAAATACAAGAGTGAGGATCTTGAAATTAATTCGCTCTGTGACAAGAGAGTCAATAGAGTTTGACAAGGACTGGGGTAATGGAGGTACGGAGCTTAGTGTGGGTGAGAATGCAAGCGGCGAAGGACACTAGCTCCTTTACTGTACTGCACAGTAAATAGTCTGCCTCCAAGTGATTTCAGCCTCTTCAACTTCTATTGACATTTAGGGTGAGAGTTGGAGAGATTGTGCTGAGTTGCAGAGAAGCTGAGTGCTGTCTGTTCAGAGATACAGGACAAAACTCACCTCAACTGCTGTTATCAAACCAAAGTGATTCCGTGTTGAAAAGGAATTTGAATTTAAAAGTTACAACTCAATTTTAATGTGACTTAACTCCCCCTTCGCCTCCACAGAAATTAGTGACGAACATTTCCTACCTCAGTGACTGGAGACTTTGGATTGATATTCCTAGCTGCAGCTATCTCCTGAAGTTGATTGACCACCTCTGTAATGGTCAATCTCTCCTCCGGATTGATCTTCATCGTATTTCCTGTGGAAATAATAAAGGACAAAGAAAGGATGAGTTGTTAGTCTGTAGTCAGGACCTGTCCTGCAACGTGATCTGAAACTCCAAGAACATATGTCAAACTTCCAACACTGAAGTTCAGCTGCTGGATCAAAATAATGAATCACAGCTTTATCCAGATTTTTAAACTGCATTGCATTGCAATATTCTACAATATTACAGTACACTTGGCGCATACAATCACGGGCTATGGCCATGGGAGGCCAATCCGAAGAGGGGAGTGCGAGGATTCTATTCCTACTTCTGGGCAAAAATTAATTTCTCATCCAATTGTGGACACTGACTATTTTCTTGTGCAGAGGTGAATAATGCACTTCACAATGCACTAAATGTAGACCAATAACATCTCAGGGTGAGAGTATCAGAAATGTGGACATCTTTCCCCAATATATTCAAAACTACACAACAACTGCAAATATGATTGATGAAGTCTGATGTCACGTGCTCTATGCTGTATACTTACGCAGTATTCAATAGTAAAATTATAAGCGCATGCACTTCCTGTGACTACATTAGCTGTACATTAGCTGGGGGCTTGTATGAGCATCAAAATACGATCATACAATTCAACTATAATGTTCTGCTAATAAAAACCAATATCAAAAATTCAACCAACAGGACATTTATAATCCAACCAATAAAAGCTCACTCCGACCACCTTAAGCAATCGTAAAGTTTGGGAAATAAACAATGTGTAAATATAATTACCACATTTATTTCACGAAAGGGTATTGTCAAGATTAACAACTTTGAGTAAAGCTAAGCAATAATCTCAATGATAATTGATAATTTTAAACCATGAACAAGAAGTTAAAGTAGTTTAGGACTGACATGATGAAATTATGCTCTTTGCGTAAACACCATCATTCTTAAAATATTTACATTGCAAATTGAGTGGAGGCAATTTGTCTTATTTTTGCTGCTTTATTTGTATTGGATATCACATTAGTCTTCAACGCCCAGAAATTGTAAGTGAACACACAAGGTGAACTATTAATCATTGTGCAAATTTATCATGCAATACTGTAATTGATCAGCCAAACAAATTACCTACAGTAGAGCCCCCTTTATAACACAGTAGTTGGAGTCCATAAAATCACAATTAAGGGTATAATGGCATGCGGAGTCCTGTAGCTCAGTGGTTAGAGCATTCGCCTCGCAAGCGAGAGGACCTGGGTACAATTCCCGGCAGGGCAAAAGGTTGGGCAAGTTTCCTTACTCAACACCCCTCTGTTTACCTAGCTGTAAGTAGGAACCCAGTTGTTAGTCGACCAGGGATAATAATAATAATAATAATAATAATCCTTGCATTTGATATAGCGCTTTTCACGTCGGGAGGACGTCCCAAAGCGCTTCACAGAATATACTGTAAAGTGAATTGACTGTATATTTGTGGGCGAACGCGGCAGCCAATTGCGCACAGCAATGTCCCACAAACAGTCGTAGATTGAAAATGACCAATTTATTATTGTTTTGGTTTTTTGGAGGGATTATTATTAGGCGTGTGGAGTAAGGAAACTTGCCCAAGGTTTCGCCCTGCCTGGAATTGAACCCAGGTGTCTTGCTTGCAAAGCAAGTGCTCTAACCACTGAGCTACAGGACTCCACGATAGGACTCCATAATAATTGCTTTTTAAAAAAAAATTTGGTCACTCAATCCACAACTGCTTGTGGGACACTACTGCGCGCAATTGGCTGCTGGGTTTCACCCACAAGATATACAGTAAATTCACTTTACAGTACATTCTGTGAAACGCTTTGAGACGCCTCAAAGATGTAATAAGGCACTATATCAAATGCAAGGATTATTATTATAATTATTATGTGAATGCTGATCAGAACTTCCACATTCACTTTTTCAGGAAGATAGCTGGCTCCATCCACACTTCAAAATGGCTGATACGTGGGAAGCCAAAACACTGACTGGCATTTTGAAGCATCAATGAAGTTGGAGCATGCATTTTGGATTTTTGGGGGTAATTATCAGGGTGGAGGTCACCCCAATAAGTGAATCCACATTATAACAAAGCGCATTATAATGGGGTTCTACTGGAATTAGTTCAAAAAATACTTACGAATGAGATCATGAAAAACTGTGTATTTGGTATCATTCTCAGGAATAGAGTACTTTCCATTCACTATTGCAAGTTTAGCACCATCTTCAAATGGATGCTGTTTGAAACACAGTAGGTAAAGGATGCAGCCCAAAGCCTAAGGAAAGTTACAAGATGCATTTTTAATTATTAGTTTTATGCTATGAATTAGTGCAATCAATAATTGGTATTTATCTAGCACCTTTCAGCTAATAAATGTGTCAACCACTTTACAAATTCTAATTGATCAGAAATGTAAATAAATGTTATTGGTAAACACAGCAGCTAATCTGCGTGCCAGCAACTTCCCACAAATGAGTGAAATGAATGTACCTACTAGCCTAGTACAATCTCTGACTGCCAAAGAGGATTTTGTGCCGTTGACCTAAGATGGATATTTATGTGTGCATGGCACAACACCATCATCAACATCAGCATTTGCAAGGTACTTTGAGGACACAATTTTCTGCACTAAATCTAATTTCGGACCCTACTGTTTTCCAATCCAGGGAAGATCTTGCATTGTTTACCCGTTTCTAACCTGTTCCTTGGAAGCCATCTATTTTTTGATTGGAAAAAGTTTCAAGCTATAGCTAGTGATCGAAAATGTAGAATAAGACATTAACCCAAATAATCAAGAAGTGAACTAATAAAAGTGGTGATGTCACAAATCCTTATATTAAAGCTGTAGAATGGAGAGGATCACATTGTAACTTAAGCAGAGAAGGTTTAAGATGAACAGAATTATAGCTCTTTTTAATCCTTTACCTTTTGTAATATATTCTATTCTATTATATATCCTAAAAGGCGGTAACAACATTGCTTAGATGACAAGGCAATTCCTATGACAGAAAGTTGTGGGTTCAAGCTCCCTTCCAGCTCCCCTTCTGTACATGAGTTTACAAACCAGGACCAGGCAATTCTAAGAGAGTGCTTCATTGTCAGATGTACTGCACTTCATATGAAACATTAAACCAAAGTCCTGCCTGGTACTCCGGTGACATTAAAAGATCCCATGACACTATTCTCAAAGAAAAGCCCTGACCAGCAACCCTCCAAAGAAATGAGTCATTCCCTTCATGGCTGTTTGTTGGATCTTGTTGTGCCCAAGTTGGCTGCAGTGTTCCCTACAAACATAGTCACTACACTTGACAGCCATCATCTGTAAAGTGTTTTGAGACGGTCAATATTGTAGGTGCTATATCAAATGCAGGGATTAGTATCATATACTGAAGTATAATAATCACCAAGGCGCACAGGTACAATAACTGTTTTATAGCTGAGAAGTGTAATGCTCAGTGACAGACAGACATACCCAGATATCTTGTTTTTCATTGATGGGATAGTTGGAATACAGATCTATTATTTCTGGTGTACGATACATTGGTGTAGTATTTCTTGTAATCTGCCAAAACGAAGAAAAAGATTTTGTCAGGAGTTATTCTTAATTTACTAATTATGAAAACACAGAAATACACAAATACTTTGATATTATAACTATGAACATGCATTAGGACGCAATGTACACTATATTCCTATTGAATAAAATCGTAGTATTTTATAGAACCAATGTTCATTCAGCCCATCATTTTGGTGCCAGTTAGGTTTGAACTTCAGTTTTAATTCAAACTTTTATTTGAATTATAATTTGAAACTTTTCTCACACATACTTCACATAAATAGCAATATACATTCATTAACTCAAATGCACTAACAAAGAAGAAAATAATACAAAGAACGGTTTTGTTGTTAGACAGGAATTATAGTGTCCTAACACACTATAATTGAACGTTAAATGTGGAGTGATACAGTAACATGTTGGCAAAGTTATTCAATTCCACATACTTCAGATTCTTCAAACAATTTTCAAGACCCTCATTGCTTCAGCCACTCCCCTACCCCTACCCTCCCTGCCCTCCTGATCCCAAACCTCAGCTCAGGTCCAAATCCTGGACTTTCCAGCGCCTTGGAACGTCCTCCTGACGTGAAAGGCGCTATACAAATGTAATTTGTTGTTGGTGGTGGTAGAACTGAGAATAACAAGTTTTGCTGTGGATAGCCAAAACAGCTGTTCATACCAGAATTGGGGTGTAGATCCCAGTATGTACTTTACAAACTATCCTAAATGTACGCAGAAAGTTAGCCAGCTCACTTGAAAACACCATCTGGCTTCTTGCTCACTCAAAAATGCCCAGGTTCTGGGTCATCAGGGACACAGTTGATGTCATGTCCTGGGACTGGGTTTGCAGGAAGCCAGTCAGCTTTCTGCTTGGATGTGTAATGAATGTAGAAGTGCTGAACAGCAATCAAGCCCAGTTACAACGTTGCTGTGGATTTTGTGGGACCCAACCACTATGTTATAATGGGGCTCTACTGTACTAGGGCAATCTAACAACCTTCAACAAACATGGCACTTAATACTAGTCTTGATTGCCAGCCTCTCACTAAATTAAAAGGGAACAAATACATGAAATAAATTGTATTCTTTGTAACATAGTAGATGAATACACTTGGCGAGTGCAAATGCATGTATATTAACCACTCATCATTTGCAGTAAGAAACTCACTCACGCTTCATTTTAGATCTATCCAGTTGATGTCACTTATGAGCACATTCTGTAAACAGTCCCCACTGTGCATTGTCCTAGAAATGTTAAAAAAAACCACACACATACCTCTTCCTCTACCATTGCCCTCTTCTGGGCAGACCAGCTATAGTCAGGGTAGTGTGCTATACTGGTAGCACTACCAAAGTCACATAATTTAATTGTGCCTTGGTTACTGACCAGGAGGTTTTCAACCTGCAAAAACATAAAATTAAGATCAGAAAATAAATGTGCATAAACAAGTCTTGTTCTACATAAAACACATTTTTTGCCAGGAAAGGGGCAAATACAGCCTACTCAAGAGGTTTTTCCAGGAATTTCTACTGCCCGCCTGTAGTATATTATACTGATCTCAACATCACCTTTAAAGGGATTAAGATCAAAATTCATCCAGAGAAACATAACATTCTACAGCACAGGAGAGAGCCATTTGGCCCATCAACAACTGCAACTTGTACTTATATAGCAGGGTAGCGTCTCAGAGCGCTTGAGCTCTCATCGAGCCTGGACTGGCTCACAGAACAAGGATATCACTTCAATCCTACCGTCCCGCCTTATCCACAAACCCCTTCAAGCCCCTCTCTTTCAGATGCCCGTCTACTTCCTTCTTGAAAGCTATAATGGAATCCACCCCCACCACCCTACTCAACAGGCTGCTTGATCATATATATCTCAAAACTTGAGACAGAAGTAAAGAGAAAATCACATCAATTAGTTGTTGATACTATTCTCGACTTGTCAATTGCTAATGTGATCCCTAAAACACCATCAGTTAAAGCTTTCTTCCATGTTGAACAAATTTCACTGAATCTCAAACTATGCAGATGACACATTAGACACAAATGAAGAAAAACTGCAAATGCTGGAAAACAGAAATAAAAAAAATGAGGCATCTACAGCAGCGCAAGCAGAATCTGGATACGGTAATGTTTAAGATGGGAGTATTTTAGGTCATAACCGAAATGTTAATCAGTCTCTTTCAGATGATGTTGAGTTTTTAGCAATCAGTTCTGTTTTTTTTTACTGAAATTAGACACAAAATGACTTTTCTGCAGAGATCATTATACAGTTACTTCAATTACTGCCCATTACAAAAAGGTCACAATGTGGAAGAAATCTTTTGAGTTAAACCAGACCCCATCAACTATATTTCTGTCTTGCATTGATTAGTTTGATTTTAAATTATACAACGATTACATTCGATTGATCTGGACTTTACTTTGTGTTTTTGGTACTTGGACTCAGTTGAAGAAAAACACGTCTGGGGAGGGGGTAAGCGAGGACTCCTTGAAGTTGAACTAGCTCCGGGATGACATGCTCAGTAATGAAATATTGGAATTGAGTTAACTCTCTGTGTCGGACTCGGTAACCATTTCCTGAGTCAGATGGGTCTGTATTACTCCAGGGCACTGCTGATGACAGACAGACCAGCTAGCCTGGCTCATCCACAGCACTGGAAATTGCAGACCAGTCACTCAGGCAAAGATTCTTTCCGCCCAGTTGCTGTTTTCCCTGCAAGTCAAAGCCCTAACGGGTAGGGTGGTCCTAGCTGAACAAGCAGCGGGAAAGATTGCCAGACAGTGCTTTCAATGGCAAGCTATACAGTTTTAGCTGGTTAAACTAGCAGTACCCCCAACACACACTCTGGGGTCCCAAAGTCTTAGCCCTTGCTAACCCGCACCTAATACTAGTATTGGGAAAGCAGGATGTGTCTCAGAGGGCACATTCCATTCTAATACATGGGAATTTGCATGCGTAGGTGGGATGCATGGAACTCTATTTGATTTGAATGCCCTTAATCATGGTGATGGGTTTCCACATGTGTCTGGCTGACACCCTTAAAACATTTTTTTAAAAAAAGTTCTCATTTCTTTTGGGGGGCGGGGATGGAGAGAAAGAAAACGGCTTCAGATGGAAAATACTACTCGCCTCTGACATTCTCCTACAACGGAATGAATTGCAGAGAAGCAATAAATACAAAGAAATCAAAGAATATTAAAAGTATATGTTTCTGTTGGAATTGAAAATCCCCTCCTAAAGAAGGAGAAAAGATTGTTATATAATCTAAGCACTTTGTATTTTGTATATTCTGTTTCCCACTGGACAGTCAAATTAAAGGTACATTTAATTTTGTGTTTTGCCCACAATATATACAGGCAATTCACTTTACCGGATATTCTGTGAAGCGCTTTTAGATATTTGGGATCCGATAAGACGCTATATCAAATGCAAGGATTATCTTATTAATATTATTAACCTGCTACAGCACTGCCTTCCAAGGTCTGTGCATGAATAATGGTCACACAGGTGGGGAACTGGAGGGCATCGATGGAACTGTACTGCCCTTGAAGAAGAAAAGCAGTCAAATGCCTTCCAGACAGCAGCAATTATATGAAGGTAATTCATATTCAATTAATGCAGGGTGCAAGAATTCCATTTCACAGTATGGCTTAGCACACAAAGATGAAAGCTGCAGCAAAAGCCTAGAAGCAATTGCACATTCAGGAGACTTCCCGATACCATCATAAAAAAAATAAATGAAAGGAGTCTTCTTTTGTGAAGAAAGGTCTGATATTTTCAGAGAATCTGAAAGCCTCAACTTATGCAAGCAAAATGCACTCTTACGAAAAGGCTCCCCATTATAACACAACCACATAATGCCCCATTATAATATTATAATGCTCCCCACATAACTGGAAATCGGCTCCCAACCGTTATCCAATTTATATTACATTTCAGATTCCACAGCTGAACTCACCAAGGCTGCCTGAATAAAACACTAGAAAGAAACTATGGCTTATTGCTCCATGATTCATCTGCAGGCTGTGCTACTGATATGCTAAGCCCTAGTTACGGAAATGATCTACTTCAAATAGATTTTCAAAACTGACAAAACATTTTCCAAATGTTTTAGTGGTCACCAGAGGAAAACGTTAAGCGCTCCAAGATGCTGAAGGGTGCTATAGAAGTGCAAGTTGTTGTTTATAAGTAACTTGCAACGAAATAACTATACATTTGCTACAAAAAGTGCAAGCCACTGATTACTCTGCTAGCTAGTCTACAGTACTAATAGAATACAGAATATGATTTCAGATGTAGGAAGAATGCACTTTGGACCAATATTAATGAACACAGTCATACACTTTACAGTGAAAATCCTGTGGAGTGCTTTAAAATGTTTTGTCCATATGATAATGTGCTACAAGTGTACGTCTTGCTCAATTGGTATATTAGGTCTTTGAGTTCATAGTCTAGGTTGACACTACAATTTAGTACTGAGGGGACCGATGATTGACAAAGGTACTACCATCCTTCTGATGAGACATTAAACTGAGGTACCATTTGCCTGTTCAGGATATTAAAGATTCCTTAACACTATTCAAAAAGAGAAGGGACTTTCTCAAGGTGTCAACAATCCCTCAGATAAAATTGCTCATCCATTTCATGGCCGTTTCTGGGACATTCCTACACACAATTGGCTATCGCATTCACCTACAAATACACACTCATTACGTTTCACAGCAAAATCCTATAAAGCACCTTCATATATTGACAAAGTGATAAGGACTACATCAAATGCAAGTATTATTGTTATTATTATAACGGGCTTGAGAATAAGCAACAACGCATTAAATGATCAAACAGATTGTTTGCTGTGATTACTAAATATCTGCAGTTGTATTGGTCAGCTAGTCAGACATAACCGATCAATCATGTCTATCCCAAGAGGCAACACATTCTATTTTATCAAATTCGCTCACACGTCCTCCCTCCATTCCCTACTCGAGCTCCACCAGTCCAGTTTCAACCCTGTCCACAGCACAGAGACTTGTCAAAGTCACAAATTACGCCCTCTCTCTGACCAGGGCTACCTCTGCCTTCTTCTCATCCTTAGACATCTCTGCCGCATTCAACACAGTCAATGATGCCATCCTCCTCCACCACCTCTCCTCCCTCATCCACCTTAAGTCCTACTTAACCAAGCGCCATCAATTTGTATCTGCAAATGTTTTTTCCTCCCACCCCCGCCCATTCACTTGCGAGGTACCCCAAAGCTCCATCCTTGGCCCACTATTTTTCTTATTTACTTCTCCCTCTTGGCGCTGTCATCTGCAGAAATGGGATTAACTTCCACATGTATGCGGATGACACCCAAATCTACTTCTCCTACAGCTACAACTCCAGGTCACTGATGTTCTGTCAGCTTGTTGTCAGACATCACGGCCTGGATGACCGTAAACTTCCTGCAGTTAAATGTTGATAAGACACAAGCCATACTCCTTGGTTTGGAACTCTCTCTTTCAATCACTCTTTCCCCATTTTTAGATCGCGAATGAAGACCTTACCCTTCGACCGTACCTACAGTCAACACTTCCTTCCCCCCGGCTCGGTATCAGGCTCCTCCACTGATAAGCGCTCCGAGATACTACCCTGCATGAAGGACGCTATACAAATGCAAATTGTTGTTGTATTTTTGCGTCGTTTAGCAAGAACACAGATCTTGGTCCTTACCTTCAGATCTCGGTGAGTGATGGGCGGTTTCTGTTTGTGCATGTGCTGCACTGCACGACAAGACTGATAAAAGATCTTTAGCACGGTATCGCACGCGAGAGATCCTTTTGCTTCAGCTCGCTTCAAAAACTCGACCAATTGTCCTGAAGACAAACGATGGGGAACAAAATTAGTAGCCATTATTCCTTCAGACTAGGTTATGAAACAGATTTTTTTATTTTTTTCAGTCAGGGTAAGGAACAAGTAGAAGCAAAGATAATTTACAGTTTAACATCCATAAATAGTCACACACGGAAGCAACTGTACCTTTACAGAGTTCTGTGAGTATGAGGTACTCTGCTTGCCCAGTATCCGACTCTTCTTTCCCTATAGAAGCTGCAGAGCTGAACTGCACAATATTGGGATGTCCGGAAAGCTTTTTCTAAAATGATTTGGTTAAGGATTGTTCCGTCTTCAACTAAAAAGATGCATTAACATTTTACTTTTGATGGCAAAGATTGATGTAGTGTTCAGCCAAAGTCCTCTCCGAACCTTTTAGAATGTTTGGTCTTGCATACGTGGGGAAAATACTGTGGATCCGACAAGAACTTAGCTGTCCGCATTGAGGCACCTTACAGTATCGGGCAACATCAGGAAAGCACACAGTTGAGACAGTTTTAGTCTGACTGGATTGCCACAACCCCAATCCTCATTAAGCAACAGGCTTAATTCCTGGGATAAATGCTGGTGTTCATGGAGGTTCAGTTACAAAACCAAAAGCTCCTCTAACCATTTGTAGCCAAAGCAACAAAACTGGAACAAAGGTACTTTCTAAAAATAATAGAACATACTGCAAACTTGGCATGTTTTTAGACTTAGATTTCACATGAAACACAAAACTGGATAAGAATAAATCAATTTAATACATAGAGAGAGACATGTTCACACAGACACTCACAAACATATACAGAGGAGAGAGACACACCGACAATCTCAACAGCGGGGCCTCCGAATGGAGTGAAGTCCACTTCCCGCTTGTGCCGCACTGTGCATGCGCGTCAGAGCTCCACAGCAACGGTGGATAAACAGTGCGATAGGCCCCGGGCGCCAGAAACTTCACTGTTTAGCGGGTTTATGGCGGGTTCCGCGGAAAAATTGAAGACGCACTTTTTTTTATTGGCCCAGGCCATGACTTATGGTCATCGCAAGTTATTTTTTGAAATGATTTTTTTTTAAAAAAAACAAGAAATGAAGATTAGTTTTCCAAATTCTGAATAAGGAGACCCTTTTAACGTTCACTTCAGCAAACCCTCAAGCTCAAAGAAACAAAAGGATACCATAAAGCAAACTTCTTGAATAATTGCTCTGTTCTTCTCTTCCTCATTTGATAGAAGTCTCTGCAATATAAAACAGCATTGCATGCATTTCTAGTCATTATAAACTATGTTTAAAAAAGCACACCCAGCAAGTCCTTGCGCCCAACGTTTTTGGACAAAAAACTGTTTCTCCTGGTACTTTCAATAAACTAGGCGACCTTTTGAGATTTACAAAGTTTATTGGCTACTTTTAGTACAAGAATTTTCTAATTGTTGGATGGAGCTCTACCTTGCTGTTACTAGTTTCAATGAGATATTTGTCATGGGTAAATCAGAATCACTAGATAAGCAACTGTCTGGCCTGCAAGCAGGATTTTGCAAGTAAAAAGACTCATTTCCGTTTTACTTTATCCTTTCCTTCCTGATCCTTTCAGGCTCTTTTTCCATTTACTTTCTAGTTTTTATATTTGACCTATGCAGTTCCTCTTTCCCTGTTCGCCTTTGGTCATTTTTTGATTGAGCTTCTATCTGGAATTGTTTAAACCATTGTTTAAACCCTCGTTTTCGGTGCATTTACTGATTTTTTTCCTTGTGCAAATCCAAAATCTGATTCTTGCAATCGTTTTGAAGGCGTGACAGGGGATGAGAGCAGAACATTTCCTTGGGTGGGTCAGCAACAAGCAAAAGTGGGAACAATTTTACAGTGAAAGTGCACTTAACTCACACACACACTACACAGGGTATTAACACATTAATAATCTACAGTAAAATGCATACAGGGTTGGACATTAATAATCGCCAAGTACACAGTTGGACTTTGACTTCTTGTTGACCATAATTGCTGAGGCATTTCAACAAAATTGCAAATGAAAAAGCCAGGAAGGATAGGAAAAGCATTTTTTCGTAAGTGTGTGATTGAAGTCCTTACAGCATTGTACTCTATCGTACTTTTTCTTTAAGAAACATCTCATTACTAATTGTTATCCTCCCCATCATCCGAAAAGAATGAAACCCTTTTGTTCTGGGATACAGTTCCAAAGGGACTTTCTGCCCAAGTGGAGTCCTGTAGCTCAGTGGTTAGAGTATTTGCCTCACAAAGAGACCAGGGTTCGATTCCCAGGCAAGGCGAAATGTTGGGCAAGTTTCCTTACTCCAAACGCTTCTGTTTGCCTAGGAGTTAGTAGGAACTCGGTTGTTAGTCGATTGGCGGATTGGGGTTCTGGGGGTAATAATTCCTTCAAAAAATTAATAATAAAATTGGTCACTTCAATCCACAACTGTTTGTGGGACACTGCTGTGCGCAATTGTCTACCGCGTTTCACCCACAAAATATACGGTCAAATCACTTTACAGTATATTCTCTGAAGAGCTTTGAGATGTCTCGAAGACGTGACAAGGAGCTAAATCAAATGCAAAGATTATTATTATAAATTATTATTCATGTGGGAGCCTTGGCAGCACAGGCTATTCAAGTGTAATAGACCATCAAGCTGTTCTACAGTACTCTTAGTAACTTTTGAATATTGCACCAGCAATTTTTGGGGGAAAAACAGGATAAATAGGATAGCACAGGAACTCGTAAAGTGCGGGGAGGGAGACAAAAAAGCAGAATGAAAACAGAAGATCGAATTTAAACGAGAAACACGAGAGACAGCTGCAGGTGAGGATTACGGGAAAGGTTAAGAAAAAAATAGCGAAATAATTCTTATAAAAAGCATTAGATTGCAGGTTATGAAGTACATGGGATAAACCCGTCTGGTGAGACGTTTCCATCAATAACTCTTTATTAATCAAATCATCTGAAGCAAACTACTAACGGCTAGTCCTGTGCTTCTCGAGGATGGAAAGAATCAGAGGACCAGGTGCAAGGGGTTTCCACAGGGAATCTATTAGGTAATTACCCAGCCTTCAGTTTGACAAGTTGAAATAATCACATTTCTTTCCTGTGTAAGTAACAGTTTCTGGTTTAAGTGTTACTTACACAGTTAGAACACCCATCCCATTCAGCAGGGATTCTGTGTGGGAAAACAAAATTAATGTTTCCTGCTCTAAAACTGCACTGTTGGAGGCTGAGGAGAGCTCTGTCCAAACACAACTGAACTATCCATTCATTATTGAAGGATGAGTGTGACTGGCTTTTCAATAATATTAAAATAGTTAAAACTACTACGTGTAATGTAATCATTCCCTTTCCACAAGCACCACATATTCAAAATGTCCAATTTATATATGTAAAAAGAACCATTCTTACATCTTCGAGAGGTCTGAAAGACTTGATAGGATTTACTGAAGTCTGTATTCAGTCCAACCCAGCATTAACAGTGGGATAAACACCAGCTAGTAATGTGTTTAGACGATGATAAAATATCAAGCATGAAAATAAATAGCAGCTTTCCTCCCTTTATTGTTTCTTGCATCGCAGAGGCCTCCCACCCTATCCTGTGATTGGTGTGAGCATTTCAAAAGTTCTGGCAAAGCTTACCTTTAATGCATACTCTCTTCCATTGCCAAGGTCGTGGGCTTCGTAGACAAAGGCAAATCCACCTGTCAAGTCAAACAGACATTTCCAGAATGATGTAAAATAATCAAAGAGCAAACCACAAGATACAGTGGGCTGGAATTTGTAGGTGTTTTGACAGGATTCCAAGAAGCGCTTTGAGAGACGTGTCGAAGGCGTGATAAGGCCCTGTATTAAATGCGAGGATTATTATTATTATTCCTTCATAAAGAATCAGAGTCACACATCAGAGGTTCCTGGTAAATGGAAGTGGGTCAATGACCAATGGGAATTCTGCCCCAAATTAATCTACTTCCAGAACAGAGCTTCTATGTGGGTCAATGCAATTCTAACAGTGAGCAGGTACAAGGCAGCAATTTAATGGAGAGGTTCAGACAATGCTAACCACAAAAACGAAGGTCAGATGGTTTTGAATAATTACTCGAATCCAGTGATTAGATTAATATCTTACTCTCAAGGCTATCTTTTAAATAAATGTTTTAAATTAGTGATGGTTGCATTTAACTTTTGTTCCTTTTCACAGAACCAGTTGCACCTAGGTTAACCAGTGTGGTGTAATTGCTGTGTGTCTATTGAGTTAGCTGCAGTTTGCAATAAGCAGTCAGCAGGCATTGTAAGATGGTAATCCAAATAGAGCAGTTCACATTACAGATTTAAAGAACCACAGATAACTTACTGAATATTTCATGACTGCCCAAGATAATATTACAGCTAATCACTCCTTCACATTTTTTAAAAAAATTCAAAGTTAATTTCTCTATTCTTAATCGCCCCCACTCGCCAGTTATTTCCCAGTCAGACTACCCCAGTCCTAAACAACCACAATTGAAATGTTCTATTCTAATCTCTACAACATGTGTAAGAGCAGCCCTGGTCCCTCATTTATCACACAGGGAAACATGTCACCCATCACCTCAAAGCAAACCACTGGATCAGAGAATTATTTTGTGGTGAAATCCAACACGTATCTATATCCGGTTGCACTATGGCACTGTGTTTCACAATAACTAAGTACAGCATACAAATATTCTGCCCCATAGGAAGAGGGAAGAGAATATAAAAAATAAATCAGAGATTAAAGCACCAAATCTATCTCAAAGATCTCCAATTAGCAAAGCCTGGCAGAACCTGTACCATTTTCCGCCCGACAAGCACAGGCGATACACAGTACAAGGCCACGAAGAACCGAAAGGAATAAGAATCCTTGAATTACTGTACAAATACACAGTAAACTCGGGATAACTCATCACTCTAAGGTAAAAGAGCTCAGCGAAAAGTTATGTGGAGTGGCTACTTAGGCACAGTTCCTCCCAGACCACAAGGGTGTGTGTGTGTGACTGGTGGGGGCACTCTGCAGAGATTGGGCTCAGGAGCATTGTAGAGGACCCTGGTCTATTGGAAGGCCACGTTGGTCTATTGGCCTCGCCCTCTATCCTGTCACAGAATAGGTGGAAGGCAGGGTAGGAGGCCATGGACCAGAGGCTGTGCACCAAGTCTCTGTCGATAGCCCGCAACAATCACAGGATAGGGTGGGAGACCTCTGGAATGCAAGACCCCATCTTAGAAGTTATCCGATCAATTTTACATTGCAATTAATTACAAGAATGTCTAGAATTCAACTTGTTACCTGTTAAGCAGAGTGACAAGTAAAGCAGAGTCTCTTATCAACATTTTACATGGGAAGCAGCCAGGATATTGACAGCAGTCTAGCTTAGTGGTTAGAGCACTTGCCTCGCAAGCGAGAGGACCTGGGTTTGATTCCCGGGTGGGGTGAAACATTGGGCAAATTTCCTTACTCCACACAACTCTGTTTACCTAGCAGTATGTAGGAATCCAGTTGTTAGTCGATTGGCAGATTGCTTTCCCGTGGGTCCCTTAAACATAATAATAATAATTTGGTCACTCAATCCATAACTGTTTGTGGGACTCTGCTGTGCACAATTGGCTGTCACGTTTCGCCCACAAAATATATAGTTAATTCACTTTACAGTATATTCTGTGAAGCGTTTTGAGACGTCTCAAAGACGTGATAAGGCGCTATATCAAATGCAAGGATTATTAGTATTAAGTAGTAGTGACTAGTTAAGCCAGGATCAAATTATCTGCAACACTATAGACATCAAAACATCTCAAAGCGATACAGTTTTCTGTAAAGGCTAGTGACTGTGTACACACACAAAAACAAACCATGAGCATCCTTTGCAGTGTACAGCAATTGTACAAATGGAGATACAGCAACTGATAAAGCATTTTCGCTCTCTTAGATTTTCTTGATCGACTATTACAATCATTGCTTTTGATATAGAGCCGATAATGTAAAATAGTCTCAAAGCACTTCACAGGGAATTGCAGTCAAGTGTGTTATTGTGCGTGGCAGTCAATTTTTACTCCGCAAAGTGCCATAATGGCAATGAAGTGAATCACCAATTTATCCACAGGATGAATGACCAGTAAGCCATGAATAAACCATATCAAATGCAAGGATTATTATTATTATGATGAGAAATGTATTCTCTTTTCAAATATTGTCACGGGATCTAAAACATCCATCTGAACACAATGGTTTAATATCTCATTCAAAGGACGGCACCTTCAACAATGCCCTTGAAACCAACAACTTGTATTTTTTACTCTACGTCTCACGGAGCCAATACGGAGCCTCGGTGTCCTGTGCGACTCTCAACTGTTCCTCATCCCCCACATCCATGCCACGTCTCTCACAGCAGCTGCCAATACCCTCATCCATGCATTCATTACATCCAGGCTTGACTAATCAAACTGCTTGTCAGCCTCGCCAACTCTTAACTCCATAGACTGCAGATCATCCAGAACTCTCTGCAGCCCATGTCCTCTCCCGCACCCGGGTCTGCGACCCTATCACCCTCATCCTCGCCCGACTCCACTGGCTCCCCATCACACAGAGGATACAGTTGAAGATTCTGGTCCTCATCTTCAAAGCCCTCCACGGCCTTGCTACTCCCTATCTCTGTGACCTCCTAACCCCCTACCAATCTGCCCACTCCCATTGCTCATTGGAGGCTTCACCTCCCCCGCCTTGCCCGCCCTATCATTGGCGGGCAGGCCTTCAGCCTCTCTGCCCCTAGCCTCTGGAACTCCATCCCACAGTCCCTTCGCCTCGCCCCCTCCTTTGGCTCCTTCAAGACCTGTCTCAAGACCCTCCTCTTCAACCGTGCCTTTGGTCACCCTCCTACTCCTACCCTCCCCCACCCCCTCCTGATCCCAACCACCAGCATGGGTGCGGATCCCTGACTGTTCAGGGTCTTGGGACATCCTCCTGACGTGAAATACACTTCAAATGTAATTTGTTGTTCTTGTACAATAGACTATAAACTAACATATCTGGGTAAAGACTTCAATTTCAAAATCCCACGAGAAAAGCAGACCTCCAATTAAATTAATTACCTTGATTATTGCAGCCAATTTTAACAGATCACATAATAATTTATTCAGCGTGAACAGGAAAAACATAAATTGTAATCAAATACCAAGCCTTCCTGGATGGAATCAAGAAAAGCTTGTTTTGCAATAGATGATCGTTCTCTCACCTCTGGCATTAAATTATTTTACTAATACTTCTTGGTGATTTGTCCTTTGAATATTTCTTTATTTTTCTTCCTAAATTGCAATCATATGGTCTCGTATGCTCTTTAATCCTCCTGACATTATTATGGTAAAGCCCAAATCAAGACAACATACCATCTCCTACTCTGTATACTTTCACAAGGTCTCAAACAACTCCTTACCTTCCTGATAATCTACAGACTTTTTAGAAACTAATCTTGGCATCATGAAACCACTACTTGATTTACAGCACTTTGTCCTCTCCGTCACTCTTTTCCAACTTAGAGATGTTCTGTTCTGCAGACGTTGACTCTTCTAGGCTTCTGAAGAGCAAGGCAAAATACAACAAGTTGCATTCGTGACCACATCACTCCCACCCTCGCTCGCCTCCACTGGCTCCCCATCCCCCAGAGGATCGAATTCAAGATCCTCATCCTCACCTACAAGGCCATTCATGGCCTCGCTCCCTCCTACCTCTCTGACCTACTATCCCCCTACCTACCTGCCCGTACCCTCCGTTCCTCTGGCTCCGGTCTGCTCCACATCCCCCGCCCCAACCGCCCTACCATCGGTGGTCGGGCCTTCAGCCTCTCAGCCCCGAGGCTCTGGAACTCTATCCTCCTTCAAGGCCGGTCTCAAGACCTTTCTCTTTGACCGTGCCTTCAGCTCCCCTCTCGACTCTCTACCCCCTCCTCGCTCCCTCCCTTCCTCCCCTCACCCTGACCATTTCCCCTCTGCTCGGGTCCTGACCCAACTGTACAGCGCCTTGGGACGTCCTCCCGACGTGAAAGGCGCTCTATAAATGGAATCTTGTTGTTGTTGTTGGATTGATACAGCGCCCCTCATGCAGGGTAGTGCCCCAGAGTGCTTGACAGCGGTGGAGTAAGACTCCGAGCTGGAGCGAGGGGGAGGTGACCGTAGACACGGTCGAAGAGGAAGGTTTTCAGGCACGACCTGAAGATGGGGAAGGAAGGAGCAAGGTGGAGGGATAGAGGAAGAGTGTTCCAGAGTTTTAGGGCATATTGGCTGAAAACGCGGTCGCCAATGATGGAATGGAGAGTATGAGGGACATGTAGAAGACTTAGAGCCAGTCGAGCGGAGTGCTTTGCAATGACCACAAGCAAAAGCATGAAATGGAAACGTATTTTCAATAAATTGTAATACTCCAACAGGAATCTATCAATAACCCAAGAAAAACAATCAAGAAATTATCTGTTATTTGCTTATTTGAGGAAAAAAGTCAAATTATTTTAATTATAAACTCATCTATTTTCACACAGAAAAAAAACACTTAAAATTGGTTTCAGTCTAAATATGTAAAATACACTCCATAATGGGACACAGAAATATAAAAATAGAAAGGAACACAATGTGCAGCCCAATACATTACTGAAATGTAGAAGCTCAAAAGTAAACAGTAAAACTACATAAGTCATATCAGTCG